GAACACGAGTCGGAACACGGTAAAAACCATTTGGCGACTCGACTGCGGCGGGAGTGTGGTGAATAGCCACGGCCGAAGCCTACCACCAGTAGTTATTGCTCTTTAGCACCATCCAGGGGTCACTTGTAGGGTCTCGAGGGTGAACCTACGGAAGCGAGGAACATCAACCTCCATATCGATGAAGAAAGAAGAAGAGGAGGAGTAGGATGTCAGGGCACCCCTTTAAATGACAAATTATACATAGCTTTTATATCGTGACATTCAATAAATTTAATTACAAAGCCATAGCTTTTCAAATATTTCTAACGAGGAAGCTGAACCCTAAAGTATTGTATGTATATTGCTATCGTAAACATAATTTTAAAATCCATCATCTCCTTGACGCATATTCTGCATAGCAGGCGAATTCACATCCCCACCTGCCATCATTAGCCTGCCCTAAAACACTCGGCCTACTCTAATATTGTAATGACCCGCATATGCCGTGATTAGCAGACGTAGTTTGATGAGAGGTCAGGTATAAGAAACATTTTAAAAAATGTGAATACGTAACGCCAAGTAGGAAATAGCTGAATGTGACTCATAATATCACACAAATAAATATTATTCATTATGTTGATAAACAATAAGAACATGCCAGCTAATTTCTTTTCGAACGAATTTACATCTCGTGCAAGCAATAATTTTAACACACTGGGTAATACTTCCGATATTTATCTTCTCAATACAAGTGTGATTTCGGCAAGGAGATCACTGAGTGGGTACGTCTTTGTCTCATAGTGAGACTTACAACTACGGTTATTTTTCTATGTGATACGTTAGTTAAAATGTGCACTAAGTTTTTTATTATATTTTTATTTGTGAGGGTCTGTAATTGGCGTCCAGTTCTTATTATTATTTAATTTAGTCTAAGCTGTTGATCTTCCTATTAGATAAATAAATAAAATGCCAAACATTTCTCCCACTTTCCTAAATTATTCATGCAATAAACTCTATGTCCTATTGAAAAGAAAGAACAAATATTATGGTTATTTATAGCAATTAAAAATTATATTTGTACAAACATTCGTCAATTGCGAAATCGTCATAATTAAGTCCAATATTTCCTGTTTATATTAAAATTATTTATTATTATTATTTATATTGATTTATTTATTAAAGGATACAAAGGCTCAACTGATATTTTAACCAATTTTATTTTTATAGGAAACATATAACACGCAAGATGAAACATGAATAAATATGTTGTTATATATCTCCCGCAGGTGAGTGATTACGGTCATACTTCATCATAACGACTACATCACCCACACTAAATGCAGCTGCTTTGCAACGCAAACTATGTTGACAGTAACGCCATCTACGTTCATTATTGGCAGTACTATAATCTTTGGTGGATCTGTAGCCTTCCAATCAAAATATGCTAGTAACTTTGCTTGTTTTGAGAAACTCGTGCGTTGGCAGAACTGTAAGACATAATTACTTATTATTACTTTCATATACAATTCCTTGCTTTAAATTCATACTCTAAAATATTGAGATATTTTACAAGTAATACATGTAGATAGTGTAGAGTTAATATAATTCTTCACGAGAGTTTTAATATGAGCTGACAATTACTATTACACTGACTTGATTTTACTTATAGCAAAGTTATTATTAGACATAACTGATTGATGACTTTACCATCTCAGTCAGCTGTGACCATGGAACAAAACAAATAAAATAGAAAAAAATAGCTATCACAAAAACCTAACAACTCGATTTATAACAAAGGTTTACATTTTCTGAAAAACTAATGCATTCGTCGAGATAACTGGATTATGTGTTAAAAAAATAATAAATAGCAATGGCATTAGATAGCCTTACCATATTTTGCAAAAGTCCGCCATGAAATTTGCACTTACAGTTGTTTTGGTAGTCACCAAATGTGCTGTTTTTGCAGGTAGGTTCCATGAAAAGCTCCACTCAAGGTGCACAGATCTTCTATAAATTTTAGTGTTTGAAAAACCATCCTAATCTATCATAGAGTAATGTTTCGAAATTTTTAGCGTATTATTTGAAGCATAAATTTGTTAATATAATTTTTCTGTTTGACGCTCTCCCCTTAACTTACTTAGTAATAGTATTTGCATGTAATAGTGTTTGCATAAAGCATAATAAATAAATAATAATAATAAATGTTAGAGACGTCTTGTCTCTCAATTCATTTTTATAAAATACCCGAAGCTTATTAGAAATTACAATACCAGATGAAAATTTGTTGGTAAAGTATAGGCCCAAAGGATTCCGTTACTCAAAAGACAATTATTCCACTTTCATATTTTCCATTACATTGTTAAATTGTATAAATTGTAGCTGTAACAAACCAATGGGATCAGCCGACGAGCAAAATTGTCGGGGGACATGAAGCCGAACCACATAGTCACCCTTACATCGTATCTCTACAAACAAGGTTCCTGTGGATACGTGCGCATATATGCGGTGGATCACTCCTCAATAATTATTGGGTAAATATCATTTTCAGCAGCACCATTTATACATAAATATAATGTAGCCTGAAGTATAATTACCTTAATGTATTTGTGATGTTAACGCCTGATGATTAATGGTTTCTATCATCAGCCTCTGTAATATGTCAATCGGTTATTTTGCTACAACAATAATACTTCAGAATCAGAATAACAATCAGAAAACCGAACTCAAAAGTTCGTATTTTCATTGTTGTACAATTACATCTATTTGCCAAGCTTTATGGAATCGATTAAAAGAAAGTAGAGTGTCCCCACTCTATCCAAAAAACTGGATTCATTATTCTAATTTACCACCCTTAGTCGTAGAATATTTTCTTTAAATTCGAGTAGAACCACTACTGAGATACCCCGTTTCCAACAAAAAACCAAGAATCATCGAAATCAGTTCACATGTTGGAGTAATCGATTAACGTACGCACAAAATAAATCCAATCGAATTGAGACCCAAACAAAAACATCAAATAGATATATCGAATTCTTAGGTTTTCGCAATTGTTACACATAGGAAATGAAACTATTCTTCCGGGTTTCTTTTCCGGTCAACCGTGACCATGGGACCTGTGAGGGGCCCGAAACGTCGGTTTGTTTGAAAAAAACAAATATTCGCGATATAAATAAAATAAATATTTTAAGTGCTTTTGTTTTTAAAGATTATGTACGCATTAAGAAATTATACACTTTATAGGTGTTAACTGCAGGACATTGCGTCAAGGAATCCTGGTTGATAAGATGGCTCCCAATGGACGTTGTAGCTGGAGCACACGATGTGGACAACTTTGGGCCTAAAGCCCAAGTTATGACTGTTGAACGACGTATACCTCATCCTTCCTATGATGGGTAAATTTGTTTTGCTCTGTTTTATCGTAAATATCTATATTTAACCCGTTTCTTTTATCATTATACGTAGACCTAACTAGACTTTTGTATAAAACGATTGATACTCTACATTTTTTGGTGTTATGGTAAAAGACTACCAATGTACCTACCTGCACATTAAATTTTACCAAATTATTTTTAATTTTAAATTTCAGAGGCATAGGGCCAAATGATTTAGCACTACTTAGAGTAAAAATACCGTTCACGTACACAGCAGCAATTCAACCAGTGAAACTACCCGAAGGTTACAAAATGGGTCCTGAATCACTGACTCTAGCTGGTTGGGGAGTACTAAGGACTACAGTCTTCTTCCCAGATCTTCCTAGTAAACTTCAAGAGGTGGCAGTGACATATATACCGTACCAGGGTAAGGATGTACATATTTCTAATATTCGCATAGAAACTGATTTAGGTGAACCATACTTCAAATATTCTATACATTATGTTACAGAATGTTATGAAGCGATTGATAACATAAAAGATGATGATGAGGATAATCCGTTGGAAGAAAAATCAAACATTTGTACCGGCCCAACAACTGGCGGCGTCGCTGCCTGCAATGGTGATTCCGGTGGACCTCTTGTACAATATGCTACGCAAGATATTGAAGACACATCTGATGATGTTATTGAACAAACAACTAAAGAGAATCAAGAGTTTCATCCAACTTCCAACTATGAAGATAACACAGTTGATGATAATAGAGTTGATGCGGGTTTAGTAGACAAAGTCGGTAGTTACCTTACAAAAAAAGCCACCCCAAAAACAGAGGAAAATAGTAACGACAAAACTCCAGTAATTTTAGGTATCGTGTCGTGGGGAGCGTCACCGTGTGGCCAAAAAGGTGCACCCACAGTATATACAAAAGTAGCTCCATTTGTTGATTTTATCAAACAATACATCGACAAGTAAGAATTTCATGAAACTAGAAATAAAATTTGTACTTTATTCAAATAAACTTAAAATATATCTGTATTTAATTAACTTTATTAAAACTAAAATAAATAAGAATCACATTTTTAAATATACACGTAAAACTAAATAGTGTTTATTTCATCTTGAGTATACTTCATCGAACAATTTGAATTGCATCAAACTTTAAACAAACTCGCTGGTGTTTCAAAAGAGCAGCAAATTCAAAACAAAATAACAAATTTAATAACATCATTCGATATAAATCTATTCAGTCTTAAAAATTAATTTAACAACAGATCTGGAGGCTTATAGCTACCGCACTTCGGTAAAGAGCCTACTACAGATTTAGGGATAGCTATAGGTACATTAATAAGTATTGCTGTAGGTAGAGTCAAGCCACAAGACCTGCATTCCAGCAGCCAGCTGCCACCGTGATTTGGTCGTATCCTTACTATTGTGTAGCCTTTATTTGGTACTGTCACAGTGTCTTTGATTACAGGCCACTGTAGATTCCTGAAACGTTATAGGATATCGCTTATTTCACTTGTCATTAACTTATCGAAAATAGACTTATCAGATTAGGATTTGAAAATAAATGCTACAGGTAAATAGTTCAATCAATGCGGACCGTAGGGTCTTTTGGTCAAAGCAGCAATTGTATACCACGAACCGACCACATGGTGTTAATATTGCTACATTAATATTTTATTGCATACTTATAACACGTAAAATAAGCGCTGCAACGACAAGTTTCGAAAAACACCATAGCACACTATGCATCACATAACATTGTACAAAGTGGTAAGTAACCATTTGAATGTAATTTCTTTTTTAATTGGGTAAAAGTTTCTTATACAATTTTTTACTGAAAGTATGTAAATGTAGTTAGTAGTTTGGCCTTGTTACCTTTGTATTTTTCCTTCCTTATCAAGTAGCTGGAATTTCTCTTTAGACAATTCTGTTCCATTCGCACTTTGTCCTGTTGCTACCACTTGCATGCCATAACCGTGCATGTGGAACGTATAGGATTCATTGCTACCAGAACCTACAAACATGTAACATAGATCAGTTTGCGGTATTTTGAAACAGAAAAAAAAAACTGAAGATTGACGTTTCTTTTACTCTGAACTTTGCTATACTTATGTCGGTATAGGTCAACTGCGTCTCTACAATAGGAAAACGTCTCTTGTTTGTTGTACATAACGTCCTTGTGTAAACAATTTTTGGCAATCATCAGATTGGCATCAGCCAATCACACGAGCTGCATTCCGTCATCATTGCAACTGCAAACTAGCAATTGAAATGCAGTTGGGACGCGATTAATTTTTTTATTTTTTATAATATCAAGTGATGGGATGAACAAGTCGTGCGCCTAATAGTTAGCTACACGCCTTTCCATAACAGTTACAGTGCCACTCAGCTCTTTAAATCTCAAAACCCTAAATCTTAAGTTGACAAGTCCCATGTGCCTGTAATTTCACCAGCACCCTTACCGTTCAAAACCGGAACACAGTATTGCTGACATTACTGCTTGGCGGCAGAAATAGATAAGGTGGCAGTACTTCCCTGGACGAACACTTTCAAAAGGAGCTCTACTGCTACTAAAAAAATACAGTAGATGTGACTTCTTCACAATTACTGATTGCTGGTGGAGCTGGCATGCAGCCTGCAATTTCATCTCAAATGCTAGTATAATGCGATCTAACCGATTGCATACATGCTGTTAATTTGCAATAGCCGTACAATCGATATGCGACTCGTGAGAATATACCATAAAGGGGTAAATAGCACTACACAACAATTACAACTTTTTTGTAAAAATAAAGCCGACCTCAAAAGTTTGCTTATCTGCTTTCGAATTGTTTGTTACACGTACATCTATTTGCCAAGTTTTATTGAAATCGGCTAACGGAAAGGAGATGAAATCCAATAAACTGATTAATCTCCTAATTTCTCACCTTTAGGGCGCATTTATTCGACACGAATTTCATCGCGCTCACCCCGCGTGCATCTAACTGTCATGCCAAAATACGCTATCTATAATCTATTCGATTAGCTTTTACGGTTTAACTGAAATGAGCGTCTCGGGCACGCGGGCGAGCATGGCTTGAATTTGGTCTACGCAGCAACCCGCGCAGAGATCCCGCGGTCGCCGAGCGGAGTCTGCGGCAGCCCGTCTGTGGCGGTTATATTATTCAGAGGAATTTAAATGTTGTTGTCTAGTAAATAGAATTGAGATTCCCCATTAATATAAATGAAGACGTAGTAACTGGGCGGTCGCCGCGCGAAAACTTTCGCCTCGTGTAACTAGGCGCTTAGACGTGACATACTTTTTCAAATTTGAATGAGACCACTACAACTAACAAAAAAAATTATCAAAATTGGTTCACAAAATTAACAGTCGGAGTAATCGCTTAACATATACTCCTCCTCCTTTTTTGAAGACGGTTAGAACAAAATATATATATATTTTTTTAAATACTTGAATTCCGAATTTACGAGTATTAATTACCTTCATTCACCAAAGCCAACTCCACCACCTCGCCTTTCCTTGTATTCAAGACAAGCACACATTGAGGATCGTCGTTTTTCTCCTCTTCACCAAAAATACACCAGTTGTCTGTTTCTTGAGATCCATACAGGAGAACAGGCAGGCTAGGATACAGGAAACTCTTGTTGTTGATCTGGACTACGCCGGTTGCACGAAGAGCTTTAAAACCAGAGAATGTCATCAGTACAACAAAGTTCCATACTTATTCATATATAAGTACTTCGACGCTGAAAAAAAAATCATAACTCTACTTGTTATATGGAAAAGTTGAAACTTTCTAATTTTAAATCGCTTTTCTGTAATATTTTCCAAATGCACGTTAGACGTTTACCTTTCCAGTGTCGACTTCCTTATTTATACATTTAATAGTGTATAAAAAATGAAGTCGACATTCGTTTAATAACGAATATTAAAATTTTGAAGACTTAATGTTGAGTATAATGATAGTAACGTTTTATGACATAAAATATTAATATTGATTATTCGTAAAAATTGCCATAGTCATTATATTATGACATTGCTTTGTAATTTACTGAGAGCAACACTAATGTCTACATGCACAACACTCAAGTCCGTCTTAAACCAATGCTTGCAATGCAAAAGACACTCTTAATACATAGAGTGTCTTATCAATGTAGACATTGGTTTAAGGCGTACTTAAGTTTAGTGCAAGTAAGAGAGCAATAATTGTCAGTGTGGTTTTTGACCGACGAAACAATCCTCTGAATGTGTTTATAATAATAATAATTTTCTACATAATAATCCAGCCACTCATAACAATAATCCAGGCTTGCTGAAAGTCAGCGCCACGACACGGTTTAAAAAAGAAGCGATTGTGGCTAATGCTGCGGAAGTCCGGTTGTACCAGCACCGACACACATACCTAACGGTAAATTACAGCTTAGTCATGTAAATTATTTTAATATTTTTTTTATTATTGTTCCTCTGTTTTTTTTGTTCATATGCGTGTCTGTGCTTGTGCAATAAACAGTTTTCTTTCTTTTTTTCTAGTTAATAATTGTAAATTACCTTACAATAACTTACTATGACGATCTTCTAGATATCAAACAATAAATGTATGATAAAAAGTATTTAAACTTACATAAAGGTGCGGGGAAGAACGGTTTCTTCGGCACAGAATCAAAATAATAGCGAAAATCATTGTCAGTGTCTTGAAACTTAACTGTATTGCGATCAATACCCAGATATACCGATTTTACGGTGTGCTGAAATTTATTTTCTTGATTCGACTCTAACATTTGGCCATATATGAGTGAAGAAGCTGTTTCATGCTTCCATTCTTTCTGAAAATCAAGAAAAATGGAAGTTCAAATATAAATTTTAACTATAGTGACTTCTCAGGAGTCGCGAATAAAATATCGGATGATCTCAATGAAGTCCACAGATATCGTTGGGTGATCTATACTAAAAGTTTATACGTAGGTATTAAGTTGTTCGCATTGATGGGTAGAACACACGTCCTAAAAATATCGAAAACCTTTCGGGGTTAATCAGTATTTGCACCACTTCCAGCGTGGTTGAACGACCCAGATGTAAGCATGTGGACATTCTATTGTAAAGGCTTACATTCAGCGCCAATATGATCAATGCGGTAACGCTCAATTTTGATGATATAATAAAAACAGTAGAAGGTTCCTTTTCAATTAAGGCTCATTAAAGGATAGAAATTCTCCAAATTTTCGTACTATGGCTACAGCACACGTTATTTGAAAACTTTTTTGTATACAAATAATAATAACAAAGTACACGGACAGATATTATGTTTTACCACATCGATATTAATGGATTGACCAAAAAGTTCGTGCCATTTTTGCAACAAAAAAAAAATAAAAACCGCAGACAATAAACCTATTGCCTGTTTTTTTATTTTTTCAAATAAGTTTGGGATAAATGTTACAAAGCCCTTCAGATTTTCACTTATTTCGATGTTTACGAAATTCTTCGAAGTTTAGTAGTAGTAAAGCTCCTTGTGAAAGAGTTCGTCCAGGGAATACTGCCATCTTACCTATTTCTGCCGCCAAGCAGTAATGTGAGCGTTCCGGTTTTGAAGGGTAAGGGTGCTGGTGAAATTACAGGCACATGGGACTTGTCAACTCATGTCTCAGGATGACGGGCGCAGTGCCCACCAACATCTTTGCTATCAAAGCTCTGAATGGAGCGCAGTGGCAACTGCTATGTATAGGCGTGTCGCTTATCACCAGGCGCACGTCTTGTTCATCCCGTCACTTGGTATTATAAAAAAAGTTGTTTAATGGACACAACTTTGATAACGAAGAGACCACCAAACGACACTTGAGCTGTATGAAATTAAGACTTTGACCAACCCAAACTTACTCCTAATGGAGAAAGTTTTATTACTTATACAAAAAAGTATACTAATGGACACATTTAACATATACATACATAAATCTGCGAATGGAAAGCCGAAAAACTATGAGAAACTCAAATACAAATGAAAATAATGAGACTATATAAACATTGCGCATTTCTGTACGTGAGTATAATCAATGACATACTCAGCATCGACTAAGGACCGTTCAATCGCACGGAGTTGAATTTCGGCAGAACGAAGAACTCAGGATATTCATATCTTAAAATCTAAGCAACTCAACCAATTTTTAATAACATGGATCAGCCGTCAATCAAGTATTCAAGAAATATCTAAAACTCCATTAATATCAGTTGAACTAGTTTAGAAAACCTTCTTTTGTACATTTATGTACATGCGCTTTTCATATCTGCACCAGACTGCGATGTTTTTGCAAGTAAATGGGTGACTGTGTGTAATGAATGTTTGAGGTTTTGTGAGAGGATTGATGTGCACCTCAATTCTGTGAATGACTAATATTGTCTAGTAATGAATTTCACAGAGCCTTGGTAATTTAATGTGATACTGTATAATTGTATGAAATAAATAAATAATTATTTAAGCTATTAATTATGTATTACTTTACCTGTCCCGCAGCTAACATAGAAGTATAGTTATATCCTGAGTAGAGGAACATAGCGTGTGCATGAAGGCCAGCACAGGCGCCCTCTCCGCGAATATTGATCCAGTACCCGCCCTTGTCTTCCGAAGCCCGAACAACTACGTCCATACGTTCACCTGGAATGTGAAATTAATGAATTAATTATGTTATTCCTTGTTAGATTATACTGCATGTGGTACCTATACAAACTAAAAATTTAAATATAGTTATTCTTCGTCCTGAACGGATACCAAACAATGTCTACGACTCGAAGTATGAATGTGAATGCAGTATTTTATACCGCTTCAATTTACGAAACTTAAAAACGGACATATTTATACTCGAACTAGAAAGTTGATCGGTGTGTGTGTGTGTGTGTGTGTGTGTGTGTGTGTGTGTGTGTGTGTGTGTACATGAGTTAAATGCCCAAGAACTTTAAAGGACTATATTAGCAATACTTTCTATTATAACAATCACATCACAGTTAATCTGTAAAAACAAAGTTCGAATAAAAAATATTATTTAGGTTATCAAAATCATGTCACGTTATCAACGTGTAAATTGTCTTTAAAAAAATAGAAATACAATTGTAACCTTCATGTTTACCTGGGTGTTAAAGTATTAAAACTGTAGTGAAAATATGTAATGGAAAGCGAAATGACAATAACAAGAACCGGTCTGCTGACCTTAAACTCGCTGGTGTATGTTACACGCGCCTTTCTCCGCGGTCCTCCATTATTGTATGATTCTGAGAAAACTCTAAAATTCTTTGGTATTTTTAGTCATTCCGTAACGACGTCAGTTAAATTTTCAATTTCTGCAATACTTAAAAATTTCAATACGAGTGAAATTAGTATTAATAATAATAACACGCCTATACTCATAGCCTTGCACTGGAGAAACCCTGTATCGCGGGTGCCAAGGACACACATATAGACAACCACAAATAACACCCAAACACACGAGAGAAATAAATGTAGGCCATACAATTATTTCTCCCGGCCCGGGAATCGAACCCAGTACCTCTGCGTGGCAGTCCAGCATGGTAACCGGTCGGCCACGGAGGCAATTGTAATGTTGGTTAACGTTTAACAAAAAAGTTTTTAATAAATGGAGGAGGTTCCCAATTTGATAGTTTTTTTTTTTTGTATGTAATTTACGCGATAACACCGGTTTTGTGAATCGATTTTGATGATTCTTTTTTGTTAGAAAGACTTAGGTACCCCAGCATTGGTCCCATTTAAATTTGAAGAAAATGTTACACTTGTTAGGGTGACATACTAGAAGACAAATTGAGTTTCACGCACTTTCCGGTATCCGATTTCAATAAAACTTGGCTAATGGATGTAATTCCACGAACTTTTGAGGTCGGTTTTTTTAGTACTGTGTACTAAGACTATTCAGTAAAATTTTATGTCATATAAGTTGATTCAAGAACACAGTTACGTAAAGCGACGTAGTAACTGCTCTTTGCAATAGTTATACTCGTATATACCTACAATCTTTGTGGTAAAACTAAAACACGACTGACAATTCTGCCGTGCTAATTGAAAATGCAACACTTGCAAAATAGGCGTTCGGAGAAAAACGCAAGAAACATAGTTTTAGATATCTATAAGCAACAAGTTCATGTTAATAAAGGGATTTTCAACAAGAACTTAGTTTTGTAAATCAAAATAAAACAATAAATATAGATGACAATGGTTCCAATTTTTATTGTATTAAAAAAAGTAAGGTTTGGCAATTACGAATGAAAAATGTTATCCGATAAATGTGCACACGACCACAGTTACAGATGTCGATTTTTTCATCAAAGTTTTTAATCCCTTTTTGACAAAATGGTGGGTCTATTTCGTTAATCACTTCACGAATTTTGAGTTTTAAGGCTGCAATCGATTCTATTGGCTCCGTACAGACTCTGTCTAAAGACAGACTGCCGGATGCGTGTGTTTTCGAAAATTAGGCTGGAAATGCGGTAAAGGTTAACGAATTACGCTATCGAGAGATGCTAACAACCCAATTTTGGCCTATTATTGATGATATGGATATCACTAACATGTGGTTTCAACAAGACGGTGCCACAAGTCACAAAGCCACTAAAACAATGAATTTATTGCAAATCAAATTTCCCGATTGCATAATTTCACGAAATCCAGCTGTTAAGTGGCCAGCTCGATCATGTGATTTAACACTACTGGATTATTTTTATGGGGTTATGTTAAAGACAGACTCTACACGGAGCCAATCGAATCGATTGCAGTCTTAAAACTCAAAATTCGTGAAGTGATTAACGAAATAGACCCACCATTTTGTCGAAAATGTGATTAAAAACTTTGATGAAACAATCGACATCTGTAACTGTGGTCGCGGTGGACATTTATCAGATACCATTTTTCATTCATAATTGCCAAACCTTACTTTTTTTAATACAATAAAAATTTGAATGGTTGTCATCTAAATTTATTGTCTTATTTTGATTTACAAAACAAAGTTCTTATTGAAAAACCCCTTAGATGTATTATTTAGATATATTTATGTTAATAAACTTGATGCTTAGAAATGCTAAATGTGCTTATTGTTAAAGTCATCTTAAACGCTTTATATCCCTAACAAACGACAAGATCATAAATTCCATTAAAGTGTTAATGGTACTTTCTCTTTCGGCAAAGCTCTGCAACAAAAACCAACTGTCACTATCTTCGAACTAGTGCGATTTACCTCCAGCATTTGATTACCAAAGAAAATGTATTACATCATTACATTATAGTATATGATGATTATAATCATTTTTATTCCAAATTACTTAGGTAGATAGAAAATTCTTTATTGTTAGCACGACAAAGACGAATCACATTAGCAGGGTAACAATTGGCGGTGTAACTTATAGCGATTTCATCCAGACAATCTTAGGATGGAGAAAGACTAAACATTAATAAAAGACGGGTGCTAGATATAAACACATACAGACATATAAAAATTATTAAACAACACATTATACTTATTACTATACATACACATAATATCATAACATACAATTACATAATATATTCCTACATACACATTACTTACAATACATGTTTTAAAAGAAGGAGAAGCAGCCAAGCAACAGTATATTGCTATTGTGAAAGGTAGAATTTCTTTACTTCATTTTTAAATATGTTTAACGACGACTTAATAACGTAAGATCGAGTTAACTACGTTTAAATTACGTAGACAGAATTCGTAGGTTTCGTTTCGCTTCCAAATTATATCCATATATTTTTTTATAATATTAAGTGACAAGACGCACATGTCGTGCGCCTAATGGTAAGTTACACGCCTGTCCGTAATAGTTGCAGTGCTACTTAGAGCTTTAAATCGCAAAGATCTGAGGGGCACTGCCATTATACCCGTCACCTTGAGACATAAGTTGACAAGTCCCATGTGCCTGTAATTTCACCATCACCCTTACCCTTCAAAACCAGAGCACAGTAATGCTGACATTACTGCTTGGCGGCAGAAATAGGTAAGTGGCAGTACTTCTATGGACGAACTATTTCACAAGGCGCTCTACAAAATAAAATGTATAAACAACGACAATGTTGAAATATTAAACCGTACAATTGTAAAGAAAAGCAAGAAAGACAAATAAAAAATTACCACAATTTATACATAAAAATAAAAATAACTGCCTCCGTGGCCGAACGGTTACCGTGCTGGACAGCCACGCAGAGGTCTCGGGTTCGATTCTCGCGCCGTGTGTGGCCTTCATCTATTTCTCTCGTGAGTTTGAGTGTAATTTATGGTTGTCTATGTGAGTGTCCATGACAACCGCGATATAGGGTTTCTCTAGTGTTGGGCTATGAGTGTGTTAAAAAGAAAAAAAATACAGTAAAGTACTTTCCTATTTGCTAAGTCGTTTTATTCTGTTCTTCGGCCGAGAGTCGAACAATTAACATTTCTTGCGTATGCTTCATATAGAAGCGAAACACGTGTCGGGTACAATTTTGGAGGTGGTATTCGTGATTGAAATTTCATTCGTGTTATTTATGTCATTAATTTTATGCGGAGGGAAAGTGTTAAAATTAACTGAATGTAAAAAAAAACATTCAACACAAGCGCAGCTATTTAGCATTATTAACTTTTAACGCAATGCAATTTACATCCATTTTTATTAGTTATCATTTCACGATTTACTTATACACACGATTTACTTGAACAGCAACTAAAAACAATTAATTATAATAGATCTGCTTTGATCAAACGAGAGTATATAAAAAGACTCATGAGTGAAGGAAGCTAAAGAGGAACATATGTTAGAAAGTAGCAAACCCAGGTCAGTAGGGAGTCAAATGTCAGGCAAGTTTATGTACTAATATATGTATAAAATCCAAATTACAATGAAGAACGAATTTTTTTCAACCACACCCTTTTTCCCCCTGTAGGGAACTACCCTGTATGCTGAGTACCAGATTAACGAAATTAAGTCCGAACCCTGAATACTCAGGCCAGAACTAGTTTAGGAAAAATCATATCCAAACTGATGCTACCGGGAATCGAGCCTAGGATATCCTCATTCAGGGTGATGTCGTCAAAGGGTTGATTAATTCAGTGGCAGTAGAGCTCCTTGTGAAAGAGTTCGTCCATGAAAGTACTGCCACCTTACCTATTTCGGCCGTCAAGCAGTAGTATTAGCATTACTGTGTTCCGGTTTTGAATGGTAAGGATGCTGGTGAAATTACAGGCACAAGGGACTTATCAACTTATGTCTCAGGGCGGCGGGAGCAGAGGCATTGCAATTGTTATGGACAGGCGTGTAGCTTACCATCAGGCGCACGACTTGTTCGTCCTGTCACTTGAATTCATAAAACAATAATAATAATAATTCTAGTAACTCGAAAAGACACGGATAAACTACATATACGATCCTAATAAAATAGATTTTGTACATTCTATTGAAAAGATCAGGTATCAGTAATTCTAGCATTAACCTAAAACTATTGACCTTTACCAACAGATAAACCGCAACATGTTACATATTACATAATATACTACGTACCTGGGTACAGTTTTACTTTCTTCGCAGAGGTGGGTTTCACCGTTCGGCCGTCAGCAGCAATAACAGTCATCCGGTGTTGGTCTATGCTCGTTATTATCGGACAATCTAGTGCTAAGGCGTTTATCATTCGTAGCCTGTACGCATAGCCAGGTAGCATGAATAACCTGCAAAGTGGTGTTTTTCTTGAAATCCTTATAATTTATTAATAAAGGTCGGGATATCGTGGTGTTCCAAATAAATATTTAAATGTCTGCATATTTAAATACAAGGAGTGATATGGAGTGGTTAAGAACCACAAAATGATAATTAATAACTTTTCGAATTCCGAATTTCTGGAAATAGTTTTAATGCATCGTAGGATAAAACTATTCACCTCGAAAGCTGAAATTGAAATCTAAAGTGATTCTAGTCACGCATTCGTTAAAAAAGCTTTTGCTTGTTGCTCTTAAAATATGTTTACTTTGGTGAAAGATTACTTATTCTCCAAATCCAACTTCTGCTTCCTAGGTAAGTAGTTGTACAATAATAATAATAAAAACGCACACACTCAACATAGTCCCGCACTAGCGAAACCCTGTGTCGCAGGTGCCATGGACACGCACATAGACAACCACAAATTGCACCCAAACTCACGAGAGAAATAAATGTAGGCCATATAAATATTTCTCCCGGCCCGGGAATCGAACCTGGGACCACTGTGTGGTAACCGCTCGGCCACGGAGGCAGTATCTTACCTATGCAATAAAACTATTTCCAGAAATCCAGAAATCAAAAAATAATTAATACAATTAATTATTTGATGATTTTAACTACTCTATGTCACTCCTTTTATCTACTCATTTGGAACACGCTATTCCGACCATTGTGTATTATTCATACAATCGAACAACACAAAGAAAAATTCCTTCAATCTCATTTGACTCGGACCAGCCTATGTTGCCACACCGGGGCCAGCGCTTTTACCAAGTGAGCTACATACCGAATCGATTATCAGCAGATCTTAAGAATTTATCTATGTGCTTAACGTAGATCTTTGTATTGGATTTGAATGACTTTTTAGCCGTCAGCGCTACCTGTGAGAAACTCATGAAGTTCATAGCTCAGTTGTTGAGTGCGGTGGCCCCTATGTGGGCACAGGTACGGTCCGAGTCCAATAAAATCAAAGGAATTTATATTTGTATTGTTGTTGTCTAAAAATCAGTACATACAATCACATTATAACACCCTATTTGCCGTACTCCACATACCAAAATATACCAACTGAAATTCCAATTTTTAATATATTGCAAAAACAAACTCAAAGTCACGACGTCGATATAAAACTTAATTTTGCGTAGTTGTATATAAATGAATAAGTTATGACCATAGATATAGGAAAAGACATGAGCTACTACACGACCAGTGTTAGAAATGCACGATTTTTTGCATTAAATCGATTTTTTGGATCGTTTTGGTTCATGTGCCTCTGAATCAATCCTTATATCGAATCATATGCTGTTGTTAAGCGATCTCATAAAAATCGTTTCGAAGTTAATTAAAAAAAAAACATAACAGTTTTGACAGTCTTTTCGGCCTCGGTCGGTAACGATTTTCATTTAGAGTGATATAAGTCAGGGAGCAAGCACTTTCCGTGGCACAAACTACTTTTCTTGCAAACCAATATAAAATAGAATTAGCCTTACGATTTAGTAAAGGTTCAAAAAGAGACTGTTTTGTTTAAATTATGAATACGATCTAGATGATTTACATTCGCCTTAACATTGTATCGATATTCATCTATCTGTTATACACACAAATATATACAAGTAGTACAGTCAACAGAGCGTGACACTTTACTTTGAACCATTCACATACTTTGTAAAGTACAATTGTAAGTGCTCTTGACCGTGCGCTTCGAAACTTTTTGATTAATGTGACAAAGTAAAAGAAGTATCCTCGTCAATGTAATATTTTCTTTTATTATATCGGATATTTTGTTTTTCAATAAACATCGGCTTTATGAACCGTTTGAAAATTAGTACATAAAGAAGAGTAAGAGCTTACTTCACATTATCTTCTCCATTAATTACGAGGGAAGTCGGTCGCAAATTATTTACTTCTAAATTTCCAGTGAGAAGTTCAGGGAACTTAGCAGCTACCAGCAACAAGTGCTCGTTACTTCTATCGAAATCGTATAAAGAAGAATGAGGCTCGAAAGGTTGAGGCTGGTTCACGATTAGCGCGCCATAGACGCCATCACTTTGTTGAGATACTGAAAAATTGTTAGACAATTATATTTAAACCACTGAACATTTTTTTTCTTCGTAACATCAAGTGACGGAACGAATAAGTCATGCGCCTGATGGTACACGCCTATCCATAACAGTTACAGTGCCACTCAGAGCTCTAAATTGCAAAGATCTGAGGGGCACATCTACTGCGCCCATCACCCAGAGACATAAGTTGACAAGTCCCATGTGCCTGTAATTTCGCCAATAATCAATCTGAAATAATAATAATCAATAAATGATCAATTTAACAAATTAAATTAATCGCAAGACTAAGTTTTATAGACTAGGTATTGGAGGTCCAATCGTTTGACAAATTTAAGCAATTGGTAAATGAATGTTATCTATCACGTACTTATATTCATCCTCCGTGTTATCGTTTATAAATATATTTATATACATATTTAGATAAGAATATTCTATGTATGGTATGTGTATAATTAGTATGTTGCAATATATGTACGCTGTCTGCCCTTATCATAAACAATGTAATCAAAGTCTTTAACGAAATTTTGTTATTAACGTTTGGGATCTGGTTTTTTTTTATGTCTTATTTAGTTTTTATTGTTAAGCAATATCAGCGTAATTATCATTTTTCAGCTTTTTTATTTTTTATTAAAAGCGATGCGGTACTAAATTTGATCGCGGGTCACTTTCACATCTCGAATTTGATATTTCTGATTCTAATTTGCAAGATAGGGGAGAACTTCTCTATTAAATATACAGCCATATGTATATAGACACAATTTTAATTACCAAAGATAAGTGATCTAATACAGATCAAAAGAAATTGATTTTTCGTCCAATTTAATATCACGACTCCTACAAGCAATTTTTGCAATATTTACTTCCACTACATAAAAAGGTAATACCACGCAACTACATTTCGTAGCCTTGCCTCTCAGTGTAAACTATTAACAACCTCATTCACAAATTACGGTCTCAGGGTCGAATTAAATTGAGAAATACAATTTCTCTATTTCAGAAAGGGACAATGAATAGTAAGAATATGGGGGCATAATTAAGATATATTTCAGCATAATTACAAAGGGTATTTAAATTATTAACTTTTGTAATTATAGCGAAAAATAAGTTGATTTGCATTAATATTAAATATAACTGGTTGATAACTTTAAAACCATCTCAGTCAGCAAGGACCATGGGACACGATCGTTTGTTTGAAGATATAAATATACCTGATTCAAATTTTTAGCAGCAGCAGAACTTCTTGTGAAAGAATTCATCCAGGATAGTACTGCCGTCTTGTCTTACTTATTTCTGCCGCCAAGCAGTAATGTGAGCATTACGTTCCGGTTTTGAATGGTAAGGGTGCTGGTGAAATTACTTGGACTTGTCAACTTACATCTCAGGGTGACGGGTGCAGTGGCAGTGCCCCACAGTTCTTTGCGATTTAAAGCTATGGACAAGCGTGTCCCGTACCATCAGGCGCACAACTTGTTCGTCCCGTCACTAGGCATTATAAAAAAAATGAAAGCTGAAAAAAGGAGTTCCATTTCTTTTAAAAATTATTAATATTTCAAACCAAATGCCCATAATTTACCAAATCGACATAATAATCATTATTTTGTGCCAGACACGCAAATCAACTACACGTCTCAAACTAGGGAATTCCCTGTATTAGGAGTACCAGATTTTATTTTATGGTACCAAGTGACGGGACGAACAAATCGTGCGCCTGATGGTAAACGACACGCCTGTTCATAACAGTTGCAGTGCCATTCAGAGCTTGAAAACACAACGATCTGAGGCACTACCACTGCGCTCGTCACCCTGAGACATAAGTTGATAAGTCTCATGTACCTATAATTTCACCAGCACTCTTACCATTGAAAAGCGGAACGCAGTAAGTAATGTTCATATTGCAGGTGGCAGTACTTCCCTAGACGAACTCTCACGAGGAGTCTACTTCTACCACATGAATGCAATTCACTGTGGAACACTACCCAAAACATCCAGACCAGAGACAATTTAGACAAGTTCATTTCTGAAATTTTTCGTAGCAGGAATCGAACCCGAGAACACATCCGGTCACCGAAGTCGTCAATCAATACAATACTGACATTTTTTCACAAATAATTCCAAAGTCTGCTAAACAAACTTATTAAAATCATGTTGCTACTTACCCGAATCTGAATGGTAGAAAAATGTTCCAGTTGTGGAGGCGATGAAGGCATATTTAAACGTGGAACCATAGACAATAGGACATTGTGTTATCATAGGAACACCATCCATATAAGGAGTTCCTCTATGCTCTACTCCGTGCCAATGGATAGCCAGATCTTGATCAGGAATTTTATTATTGACTTCTACAATTATGACGTCATTGACGCAAACGTGTATGGGAGGGCCTGGTGATAAGCCGTTGATAGCGATGGCCGGTCGACCGTCTTCTTGAATAGTTGGCTCTATTTTGAAAGTGTAATGACATCTTCTTGGTTTTACATTAAATTTACATGGTCTATGGCATGATTTATCTGTAAAAGTAACTGAGATTGTATAATTGTAAGTCAATGTGAGAATGAAAATTGTTTTAAAGTTTTTTGAACAACACTTCTATCAAACTAATATGCACTGCCTTTTTTTATATTTAAAACTCATTATGGCATTTGGTTGCCTTGAATTATTATACATTTACACTTCATTAACAAAGAAATCATTTCACAAAGAAATTCGAAATAAAAACATTAAAAATACATATATTACCTGAATTTCGTGTAGTATCTTCTAATAAAATATTAAGATTAGTAGGCGCAAAGCTGTCCAAAGAAGCTTTGCTGTTATTATTGATGTGTGCGAAAATTATCAAGCAACAAACCAATAACTTCATTGTCACAACTTCTTTAAAAACAAATCACGTAGACACGCTACTTAAATTACTCACTGATTTATTATTATTATTAATATTATTATTATTATTTACGTGATTATACAGACCGACGCACAACGCACAAGAGCCTTGCAGCGCGAAAGATGCGCGTACGCATCGATGTTTGGAATAAAACTGCAGACTCGGTGAAGGTTTAGCGAAAGCGTCTCAGTCGCGTGAAATAAAGTGAACGAACTGCTTACACATTGGTATCTAAAGTAAGGCTTTATGTTTAATACTTTCTACTTACTTACTTTCATGTAAAGAAAATTTAAATATGAATTACTTAATTATTGTACCTGAGGAAGAAGCTTTTTGACTTCACAGCATTCCAAAACTTTTGAAGTATTATTAGTTGCATAAACTACACCCAATTACGTTGTAAGGTAGGTTCCTAAACTTCACCTTATTACTAGGAAGTATTACTGATACTTTTATTGTAGTGTTATTTAATAAACAATAAATATTTTTAGCAAGTTTTCACTGTATTACATATTATACATTTATAAACTTTCTTTTATTAACTTGTCAATTTGTCACTTGTGTCAATACACCCGGGTGTGGTCCTTATTAATATGACTTTTGTTTACGTTGAGTATGTTCACAGGTACGATAATATAAATAGAGTTTTCTTTTTTAGACAATAAGTTAAAATATACAGGTAAGGTAGAGTCTGGCGCACATCAAGCTTGACACTTTGTACTTTCGAGCGTTTTTATTGTGAGCGGCATTTAGTTGGATATTTAAGTATTCAGTGTCAAGCTTGACGTGCTCTTGACTCTGTACAATAAATAAAATTAACTATAAATACTTTTATAACCTATAGTCTTGACTTTTGACCTTTAGAATGGCACTCCATATAATCTGAATGCTTGAGATTTTGTTATGGTAAATATTTTATTACAAAAATTGGACAAAACCGAACTGACTTGACCGGAATCCCAAATCACCTTGAAAAACCAAACTGGTTTCCGATCTTCATTTGAATCTTCTTTTAACTGTAAGTCACGCTAAAGAAACTGTTACTTTTAACCAGATAGGTTGATTCATAGACAAAATTATGAGGAGACAATGACTTTAGTAATTTCGTGTAAAAATGAGAAATATTTTTTTATGAGTGATAGGACGAACAAGTTGTGCACCAGGTGTTAAGCGATGCCCGTCCATAGCAATTGCTGTGCCACTCAGATCTTTAGATCGCAAAAATTTGAGGGACACTACCACTGCGCCTATCACCCTGAGGCGTAAGTTTTTAAAGTCTCATGTGTCTATAATTTCACCAGCACTCTTACATAGTGTTGTGAAAACTTGAGTCCGGGAGTCTACATGTTAGGACTCAACTCCCTTATTCAGACAAAGACTCCACTGCTCGACATATTATGAGGTTTTATTTTGCATCCATATATCCCAAATTCAAAGTACCCCTCACAAACACTTAGCTTATTTTGTAATGTAACTAACTTATAAATTACAAAGACAAATTACTACCAAAACAAATGAAATTAAATTCACTAATATAATACTACAATTTTGTATACGTTAAGAAGGTACCGTGATGATCTATTTTAATTTTTAAAATTCTACGTAGGGTAGAAATTTATTCTGTTTCCAAACTTAACCGATATAGGCCTGAGTGCATCTGGAAGCGACATTGATGATTTTTTTTCGATATATCGGCGCTATTGAAGTATTATAATAATAGTATAATATATATAATATTATATTCATTTGGACATATTTAAAATTTTAAATATTTATCTGCCCGCGACATCGTTCAACTTTAAATTTTTTTTTTATAATATTAAAGTGACGGGACGAACAAGTCGTGCACCTGATGGTAAACTACAAGCCTATCCGTAATAGTTGCAGTGTCACTCAGAGCTTTATATCGCAAAGATCTGAGTAGCACTGCCCCTACGCCCGTCACTCTGAGACAAAAGTTGACAAGTCCTATGTGCCTGTAATTTCACCAGCACACTTAACCTTCAAACCGGAACACAGTAATGCTGACATTACTGCTTGGCATAGGTAAGGTGGCAGTATTTAATATTGTAGAATTATAGTAAAAATTATGGTTATATTTTATACTACGTTTTATTTTTATAGTATATTATGGTTATACTAGGTTATATTTTTGAGCAAATTTTTTAATCTAGGTTTATTTGGTTTTAACTTTGGTTAAATAGTTTTCAGTTTGTAAAGTCTTTTATTTTATTAAGCTTGATGTATGAAAATTATGGATTATATAGTGATGTAGAAGTTTTTTAAAGGTACGTTAATACGTACCTTTAAAAAACTCGCAATAATTTGCGAGCCTATCGAGTTTCCAAATAAAATAAATAAATAAACACATAATTAAATAAATAAAATAAATAGACACGAGCTCGACATTAGTGCTCAAGTCTATTTACGTAACGAGTTGCGCTCGAGTTCTAATCGTTTTATTTATATAGTACTAAGCGACAGGACGAACAAGACATATACCTGATGGTAAGCTACACGTCTGTCCCTAACACTTGCAGTGTCTCTCGGAACTTTAAATCACAAAGATCTGAGTGGCACTGCCAATGCGCCCGTCACCAAGTTGACAAATCCCATATGCCTGTAGTTTCACCAGCACCCTTACCCTTTAAAACCGGAACACAGTAAAGCTGACATCACCGATTGGCGGCAGAAATAGGTAAGGCAGTACTACCCTGGACGAACTCTTTCACAAGAAGCTCTACTGTTACTAAAAGTTTCGAAACAATTTCGAATTTCTAAGTAAAATAGTAAGAGGAGAGCGAACAAAATCATATATAATAGACGGCTATTAAAATAGTTCTGTTTTACGAACTTTTATTCAAATACTATAAATGTGTCTCAACTGGCAGCCAAATAATTTTATATACTTTTTTTATAATATCAAATGGTAAGCTACACGCCTGCCTATCTATGTATACCTATAGCCACTGACAGTTGAGGACAGTCATAACATTAAATTTGGCCCAGGTCATACCAGTGACGCATTCAATGTTATCACAGGTGTTACAAACTCATCATCAAAATAATCATCACGTACTTTGAAATGAATGTGATATCGTTCTGCGCATACCTCGTAGGCGTCATTGTTTCCATAATCTCGATAGTCACGTATTAATAATATTCTCCGGAAGATGTACATACTTTCTAAACATGTCTCTACACTTTCTCATTTAACAAAACAATGTGAAATTTTTACTCAAATCACTCATTTTAAGTAAATTAACGTAGATTTATTTATGGACGACGTGCTGTTTAAATTCAAAGTCTCAATCGCCATACTTGTGACCTAGTTTAATTGGCGACAAATGGTAAGATCTTAAAAATTCGTGATCTCTATCTTATAGGTATACGTTATAGTACTGTATTACATGCCTAGTAGGTCATTCATATTCCACAAAAAGTAACTTGTTTAAAGGTGTTTTGGTCTTGCCCCTCTCAGTTTATAGAGTTTTGTAGCGGTAGAGCTCCTTGTGAAAGAGTTAGTTCAGAGAGGTACTGCCACCTTACCTATTTCTGCCGCCAAGTAGTAATGTGAGTATTACTGAATTCCGGTTTTGAAGAGCAACTTGGGGTACACGAAAAGAGCCTCCTCGTATGATGCATGTACCCATTCATTTTCTGTACGTCTGGCGCAATTAGCGAGTACCGTACGCCGATTGGCACATCCTTTTACCACGATGGCAAGCATTATAGTGTATGCCATAGATACAATAATAAGAAGAACGGTAAAGTTAGTGAAATAACAGGCACATAGGACTTGTCAACTTATGTCTCAGGGTGACGGGCACAGTGACAGTGTCCCTCAGATCTTTGCAATTTAAAGCCCTGAGTGGCACTGTAATTACTATGGACAGGTTTGTCGCTTACCACCAGGCATACTACTTGTTCGTCCCGTTACTTGGTATCATCTTCTTCTTCTTGAGGTGCCATCTCCGACCGGAGGTCGAGTATCATTAGGGCTATCTGTATTTTTGACACTGCTACACGGAACAAAGATTTTGTGCTCAGGTTGAACCATGTCCGGAGATTCTTAAGCCACGAAGTATGCCTTCTTCCAGGTAGTCGCTTTCTCTGTATCTTTCCTTGCATAATTAATCGGAGTAGGTGGTGTTTATCATTCATTACAGCAACTCCATTCTATGCTCTTCGTCGTCATATCCACTGTAGTAGTAATAGTATCATCTGATGTTTGTATACCAGTGCCCTTTAGTCTTGATTCACTGATTCCTAGGACATCAATGTCCAATCTCTGCATCTCCTGTGTAACATTTTTGTGTTTTTCGCATTAGTACATGCTCCTCACGTTCCATGTTGCAATTTGGCACACCCGGGGATTCTTAGCACCCTCTGACCACTTAAGGTCTGCAGGGGACTGAGGGCCGTTGCTTGTGTTGTGTTTGCCATAATGATTGTCTTGGGAAAATAATGTGGTGGTCTTTCCTTTGCCTTCCACATCATTACTTGTTGCGAAAAGCATAATGATGACCACCAACTGTATCGATCCACTTGAATCTCCACTCGGTAACCAACTGTGCCTGCAGCTGCCCAAGCACAGGGGGTGCTTATTTTCTGGCGACACTAACTTGCCACGTCACAGAATTTATCACTGGGTCTTTTGTAGCATTTTACATAGTATTCTCTCCTGAGATATACCCCACTACACCCTCTAAAACCTGCCGCTGTAAGGTCGGGGACTACTGAAGCAGCTAGCGATAATATCTTACCGCACCGTTCCATCATCCACTACCTAAGGACCCCGGTAGTAGCTCAACTTGGTATCATAAAAAATTATATACCACAAAAAATAAACTTAAACGTTCCTATAACTTTATCGTAGTACATGCGTTTTTCTAACGAAAACCTCGTTCATGTTATGCAAGAATGTGACAATTTTTCTTCACAATGCGGCTACTCTACTAACCTTAACAGAGTTGCGATGTAAATGTTCCATTCGCTAGTTTCAGATCTAATTCGATTGCGTGCTATCTTGCATAATGGGAATATGATATTGTTGAGACGTGTAGTAATATCGTGAAGAAATTTGCTTAGTTGAGAAAATCGGAGGTTGTTGAAATCTATTCTGTATTATAAAAGGGAAAAACAACAAATTTAAAATCAAATATTTTATTGCTGATTCCCTATTGTAATTTTACTTCCTACACATTTTGGTTGCTCTTCCTTGGTTTTAGAACTTGCAACTAGCCAAACTACTAACTAAACTAGCCGAAATATTGAAAACGAAACTCTAGACATTTTGTGTTAGGGTGTCGCCCGACTAAATTTGAAAGAAGATAGTATATCCTTTTAATTTTCAACTCACTAGATGTTGGCTAAGGCTAGGTGTTCAAATGTTACTTTTCTTTACTCAAGTTCTATTAATTAAATTTTTATTGAATTGATATTCAATTCTTTTTTGTGAAATTACTCCACTAGTTTGTTATAATTATTAATACAAAGATCGAACACTCAGAAAAAAATCCTTCGATCCGGTCGGAGTCGGTAAGTTCTATTTCAATATGATCATTCTTACACCGTGTCAACCCAAATACACTGTAACATCAAACACAACATTTTGAGAAAAAGTTGCAAAAGAATACTTCTGATTTTTAAAATTTTTCAGATTAACAACATAAAAGTTCATCACATCTAAGTTGCTTTGTAAATTGATATTAAGGAATTCTAACTAGCCATGACACAACACTTACTGGACTTTGCAGTGTTTGACACGATAGATATGCGCTAACATAAGTATATAATAATACCTATGAGCACAATATGATAAAAGTTTTTCAAGAACTATCACGCAATAAAAAAAAATATAAATGAAACAATAACTCAATGTATCCATTTTATTGCCAAAAAACTGTATATCTACACAAAAAATACACTATGGAAATGCACAGAAATGACTAATTATTTAAGAAAGAAGCAGCAACATGAAATTAGCATTAAAAATTTCCGTAGTAGTGCGTCCTAGTCACTATCTACAATATAATTAAGCTACCAATGCAATGCAAAAGATATTAAATATTGTACGTTTTATAAAGCAAACAGTGGCCATGTTACTTAACGAGGGAGATTTCTATTATAGGTAATGGCATTGCAATAGTTTGACAAAAGTTTCCTTATTCATACTTCTTGCAAATGTACATCAAAAAACTGTAACCATTGTTGACTCCCCAAAGGCCTCGCGCAAGCATCTATGTACTCGTATAATGATCTCCTTCCGTCCGGCTTTGAATTTGTCAGATTTATATAGTGTGTATTATTTCATACCTATCACCATTATTACATTTCGATTACAGAGACAGAGATTGCATAGAACCGGTGTTTACATTAAAGTTTAAACAGTAATTATTACTCTTCACCAAGCCATTTGATTGTAAACTATGAATGTAAAATCCATATTTCTAAAGGTGCGTTAAGTGTAGTCGCTAAATAATTGTAGGTTGCGGGTAAAATTCTCAGACGATGAAGTAATATGTGATAATACTTTAATGTGAAATGTCAATCTAAAATCAACAGACGTATGCCTGTTTTAGGTAAACATCGATTGAACATTACGTGTACGTACTTTGACCGACATCGTGACCGACGCAGCTACAACGTAATAATGATTCAGTTTAGGCCGCGCCGGATTTATTTGCCCGGTACTAAAAAATGGATCCAAACAAATATCGCAAAAATACTTATATACATACAAAAGAGACCAAAACAATAATGTACATTAGCTAATTTCAATATTTCGAAATTTTTTAAAACTCTCGCCGGCGACGAATGTGATAAATTATACTGCTGTTTAGAATTTGCGTAATTAATTTTCTATAAGGTGTTCACTTATTACTGGTATACAAATGGCCTTACGATATTGATGTATTTAGTAATCTAAATGTAAGTTTCTAACATCTGTTGGTTACTACTTGGAGACGGTCACCGCCCGAAATTTTGTGATTGAAATTCCGCAATTTGCTTTCGAGCTGTGATCGACTCAACCCTCATTTACTATGTTTAGGAATTAATTAGTACTGTTAGTCTAAGTTATACAAAATGACTAAATAAATAAATTAAAAGTGTAGATGAAAATTAGAACTTAATAACAGTAACTAATTTAAACATAAACTGACATGTAGTAGCAAATGTGTAAATATTGACTGGTACAATGTCAGCCGCCAATATCTCGAATTTCTGTTGAGCCTGTAGCAACATTAAATACACTGCTTTTTGCTCTTTTACATCGAATTTCTCCCAACCGCAACTGTACACAGAACGCTCAAATAATTCCGCAGCATTCACCAAATTCTGACACAAAAAACAATAAAGAAAAAATACCAAGAAGCAATAGACCAAGAGTGGAGTTATACCAAACAATTCTTTTAGATCCAAATAGAAGAACATGCAAATACAAATGGCATTAGACCCTAAATTGGTCCCAATTGGAATACTATACAGATATTTAATATCTTTAGTGACGTCCACGATAACAATGTGACGTTTAATAACGTGTGAAAGCTTCTCCTTTACTTGAATACGTTCTAAGTCGTCGTCTCGATCTAATTGTAAAATTTCTTCTGCTAACAAATGATATATTGCAGTAGCATGAACAATTAAAATTCCAAGAAGTGCTTGAAAACTCAGGCAAATTATTATCACGCATAAGTTATGTATGAGGATAATGACGCTACATATTTCCTTATTGGGAGAGTAGGTTAAATCCATGCCTATAAAAAAAATATATATAATAAGTAAATACCTGCAAACATTATACCTATATATTGGTCCGAAGCATTACCCGGAATACCCAGACCAGAACCAATTTAGAAAAGGGTATTTCTCAAATTGGTCCTACCGGTAATCGAACCCGGGACCTCCTCATCCAGCGCTCACAGTGCAAACCGTTCAACTATCGTGGTCATTCAATCATGAAATATTGGCAATAATATTGGTATGATTTATTGTAGAGTAGGAAGAAAGTAATCTAAGTTTACTTTCCTGATTTCCTTTTAGCAGAGTTGTACAACCTATATAGCTCTTTGTTCTCACTATAGTTGTGGTCCTACAAGATTTTAAATAACGAGCCTCTCCTCACAAAATATCGTATCTCACATTTTTGTGCTTATTGTGTAATACATACAATGCTATTCAGCTTTTAAAAGCGAACACTCTCCAATAATGGACGTAAGTCTACCTTTTAAGAACAAAACTGACAGCAGTATACATCACCAGCACTATAAAGGTGACGAAAAGTGCTAAACGAAGAACACGTTGTCCAGAAAAATGATTACCACTAATTACAGGATTCTTACCAATGTATGATTTCTTTTTATTTTTTCGATATTTCGAAACCCTTATACGCTTCACGGTCACGGGTTGACTAAGATGAGATTGATAATGAGATGAAGTGGTGATGATAGTGGTGGAGCATGTTACCATTCCGATGTTTATCGGGAAAATAAGAAGGAATCGTATCGTAGTAAGAAACCTGTAATTAGTGAATAACCATGAAATCTTAAAATCTAATTACGATAAATAGGAGAGAGACGCCCTTATCTACTACTGCTACTACTTTTCTACTTAACATATTTAATATCTTACCTATACAATTAGTCATGCAAAAGTCATTTTCAGTATTAAGGCGTGCTGGTAGATAAATAAATGCACTTTGTAATATATTAAATCCTAGAAAGCCCCCTGTCAGAAATTTGATGATTTTTATCCATTTAATATGTTTTTCATGCAGTGTTACATTTCTCTTAACCATATCATCGCTCCATTTCACTTTTGTAAGCAAGCTTTTCAACAAAGGCCTGTAAATAAAAGAAAATACAATTTTTTGATAAACATCAATCAGGCTGTTTTCAACGATTGATACTGAGACTATAAGAATTAATTTCAGTGCTAGAACGTATAATAAAACTTTGAGACTACTGTTACGATACCGTTGGTTCCTCCACCACCAACTGTTATCCAATATGAAGACAAGTACCGATATGTTCATATAACTCTGAATGAATTCTGTAATTTCTTCCGCGTGGTATATCTGATAATGTGCGGTGCCCCATATGTAGATGTAGAATAACAATGAATAATGGACTATCCAGAACGGGGTAAAGTCTGGAAATTAAATTTTGAGGATTAATAGCAGCTGTTTCGATAAAAAAAGATTATTGATAGTAATCTGATCATAGGTTACTTGAACAGGAAGGGAGGAAATCTTTAAAGTCCCTAAATAATAATAAAAATAGAACATTGTAACAAGAATGAAACGCAAAAGTTGTTACTAACGACGGACTTTATCCTTTTCGAGCGAAAATCCAACCAATTTGGGAATTCTGTCTACAATCCAGATGACATTGTCTATATCATTCCCTAGACATTGATTCTTTATGTAACGATAGCGATCTTTCATATATTCTAGCATTTTGAGTGTATTCAAATTGTAATTTCGAGATTTAGGATTGAACTATTAACAGAAGAAAAAAGTTACGCAGTGGACATGACATGTCTAGAAAACAAATGTCGGTACGTGTCAAATATAACAACACTTGCCTTCATTAAAATTAATTTGCAATCTCATAAATATAAAGTTGTTCAGGGACGCAAACTTTTTTACCCATAAGTGTGGTGCATTCGTGCTATCCCTTCCGGCTGGTTTGCTCAGAATGCCATTCAATTTATTTTTTTCCATAGAAAATACGTCCAGGGCATCACATTAAACACTAACGCATTACCAATCAATTAAATAAACGATATAAAAATAAAGCAAAAAATATAACCACAAGTAAAATATAATTGTTTTGAGATATATTATATACTTACCTATCTTTTACCTGTTGACAGAGTTACGCAACGAGCTTGCTTCTTAGCTGGTTAGATTTATATTGACATACAGTCTCATTGATAATGTATTTGTTATCATAATATAATTAAAAACATACATCGACAACCCTGATTCTCTGGGCAACTAAAATTAGCAAATACAATTATAGTTCGAAGAAAAATATAGAGTACACACGATACCTACTAATCACAACTTTCATTAGATATTATTACTGTCTAATTTTAAGTAATTATACACGTTGGATTTTTCTGTATTTTTGTTCTCTTTGAACTTACTGAGTTTATACCTTAGAAATTCAGAAGTTTGTATATGATATAAATTATTTAATTGGAAGGGCAAAACCCAGCTTGTATTTTATAATTATGTTAATTGTTAAATGAGGCCTTCTTGCGTATGGCACTTAGCACAGAGTTCTGGAATGAAACCATTAGTGCACTCGATTAAATTTCCGCCGTGTCGGCTTCTTAAAAGTATTTTATAGGATACAGCACGAAAATCTTATTAACAAGTTTTCATACGGAATAGCTACCAATGTCTGTCTGTAAAAGGAGAAAGGGCTTCTTGAGGGAAATCGATTCGGATAGTCGTTGAAGGTTCTAATCTCGGAGCTCCGCAGTGTTCTGCACTCTTCGCGTTTGTCGACTTGCATCACATTAATGATTTCCTGCCGATATCCGATATCTCTTGACATGCAGTCGATAGCATAATCAAGGAGTGATATTCGTCTGACGCCAGTTTCGATGTACAAATCACATTATTTAGCGAAACAGTGATGAATACGCGAATTTGACTTTTTCGGCCGTATCGTATTCGAATTAGATATGAGCGCCGCGCGCCGGCGCCGTTCAGTTTAGTTCGATTAGGCGCTTCAAACGTACGCACGCGCACGCTTATGGCATATACGTAGTGAAAATGGCGACGCCAAAAATTGACATTTTTAAGAAAAAACTTAGTGACTTTATATTAGAAGATCTTTTGTTTAAAACAGTAATTGTCAATTTCTGGCGGATTCATCGATATTTTCACTACGCGTACACAATACGGAAGCGTGCGCGTGCATACGATTGGAGCGCCTGATCCAAATAATAAAAATTTGATTATACTATAGAAAATACGTTATTTTATGTTTTGCTTTGAAAAGTATTTGTATAACAGTTTTTGTAAAAATAAACACCACCGCCGCCGACACTATTTCGTCGACGCGCCGACGACTGTTGGTCTATTATAGACGCTCATATGTAATTCGGATACAATTAGGGACAACGTCAATAAGTTCAGATGCAGTATTACAGAAACGCATTTTTGAGATATATCCCTACCATTCTCCGATCACCTAGAGCTTTTAGGTTTGGATCTTACAAGAACCTGAATTTTGGTCGCTACATCAAGTCCATTTCTAAAACTATTAGTGCCTCATTGACAATAATTTCCTCCGCCTTTTGTTCCCCTCGCTATACGAAAACAAAATATGCAGTGAGGAATAGACTAATTTACTTACAAATATACGTCACTATCTTCCTCTCCCCTTGTTGACATTGAAACCTATGTATCGCTGCTGGTACCGTTTTAGCATGTCCTATGAATTGTATGTAGTCTGGAGAGTAACAGCCAAACTCCACACATCTTGCTTAGCGAGTTTAAAGTTCAAAATTCAAAAGAAAAAAGAAATAGCGGAAAAAATCCGGTTTTATAAAAAATATTTTAAAGTTGTTTTGTGATATTTTAAATGTTTATCGCACAAGAGATTTTTGGTAACTGGTAAACAGAAAATTCGACGAGAAGACGTGCTCGCTTCGGCGATCGAGCAGGGAGTGTAAAATGTTTAGTAGTAGCTATTACATAACTGTTTTAAAACGGGTAAAGGAATCAAAATTAGACGCAATTGACATTTTAACAGCACTGTACGCTGCCGTGTTCGAGCGGGGAGCGACGAAGGAACGAAACAAAATCAGAATGGCGAGGCAAAGGAATTAAAAGACGATTCAAAGTTTAAAAACGAGTGGCCAGGAACTGGAAAAAAGGCGATAAAAGGTGGGATGACAATGTAAGGAGGTCACATCGTCACAACATGTGTATTTTTAAGCCCCTTCAAAAAAATAGGAATTATAAATTTGAAGCCTGTCTATATGTCTGTGTCTGTCTGCGGCAACGTGGCTCCTAAACGGCTGTACCTATCTCAAAGGGTTTTTTTTTTAATTTAACGAACACCTCTTAACCTGTTTAAAGATCATCAGCTTTTTTCCCAGTTAAAGTAGGGATGTCTTGGCAGAAATGAATGTTTATTTTACTTCCATCACATTATCGATATACACATTGCCGATTGACTTGAAATTTAGTATACGTGGGGCATATTGAAATGATCTTTGGATTAAAGGAACTCTCTGTGAGTAGGTTACTTTTTACTTTATGAGGCTGTCATTTGTTTTTTCATTATGGTGTGTTTTCAAAACTGTAAGTTGCTATTACAAAGAATTTCCGTCGTGAAAATTCTCGGTCCATGATTTTGTACGATTTTTGATGTGGCTTAAGTCAACAAGAGAGTTGTCGGAGACTTCAATTGGCATTTGGTAATAAAGCCCCATGTCGTAGCTCCTTGTATTCGTGATTCAGTGAATTTAGATATGAACGTGGCCATCTCCATGATGTACGTGAAGGCCGGCCGGAGACTGCGGTTACCGCATTTAATATTAATACCGTACTACAACTAATTGAAACTGACAAAAAAATTACTTGTCAGCAAATTCATACTGTATTAGCCATTGGAATGAGCCAGGTGCAAAATATATTGCATGTGCATCTGAAAGTTCGGAAACTTTGCACTCGGTGGATACCACATGATTTAACAGCATACAAGAAACGACTGAGGTAGAGTGGTGCCGTAAAATGAGAAAAAATTTAATGGAGGACAATCATTGGCTGTATAATAATATCGTGACAGGTGACGAAACTTGGGTATACTGCTTTGAACCTGAAAGAAAATGCCAGTCCGCAGAATGGGTCTTTCCTTTTCAATATTTGCTGACGAAAGTTAAGAAAAATCGGAGCATTGATAAGAAAATGATTCCTTCTGGCAAATCAGGGGACCTATACTATGAGCTTATAAGCAGCCAGCCAAGTTCCATGCAATTCAATTGACGTGGTAAAACTGAATTGCTTAAATTCGTATCATGACCTACACAAAGTTGAGGAATGGCATGCCTGGTTGATGAGTTTTACTTTTTAAACGTTAATTATTGTCTCTGGTTGGCTAGCTGACTGAATCAAATTTGGCACTATTTAAAAGTTATTTTACGATTTTCAGTCAATAAAGTTATTAAAAAGTAATTAAATTTAAATTTAAAAATTGCAATAACATTCATGCCAATAATTTATCAACAATACTTTAAAGATTGGGAACTCGAACACAAATTTTCAAAAAACACTCTTTAGTTAATAGTAGGTATTTATTTATTGACAATTGGCTATAAAGATAACAAATAATTATGAAACTGAAAATATAATAAAACTTAAACGAAATTTCTTGAAAATGTAACAAAATCCAAAAGAAGTTAGTCACGAAGTAACTTTTTTGAATTGTTTATTCGCACAGATGAGACCGCCATTTGTATGGCAAATAGCACGTCAACGAATGTGTATTCGAATGCCTCAATTGTGGAGCCGATGACCCATTCGCTGTACATCCCACACCTTGCACCATGCGACTTCTTTCTATTTCCAAAAATCAAAGATAAACTTAAATGTTTCTGAATTACATGTCCAGAAGCGGCGGTGAATGGGTTCCACGAAGCCATTGAAGAGGTCCTGACGGAATAATGGTCCCACAATGGTTCCACCGAATGCAAAAGTGTCTGAAAAGTGAGGGCACAAGATACTTTGAAAAACAATAAATCTGTTATAAACATACATTTGGTGTTACTTATCAGAATCCAGAAACTTTCAAAATGGCAAGTATCTCATAAATCCGATGACACTATAATAATAATAAGGTAACCTAGATCTGATGCTCTGACTAGGACAGTCCGTAAACTAGCCTACTCCTCAACTATTTAAAGCAGGAGTATCGTGTTTGGGCTTATAGAATTGGGTTCGACATTGTAGCTGGCATACCAATGGTAACGAGATTCTGATGATAGAAAAAAAGTGAACACAGGAACTAAGTTTTATTAGAGGTAAACCCACCGACTTTGTACTCGTTGGATTTGGTCTCGACGAGTAGCAGAGGTACTACAGATGATGTGACTTTGTTGACTTTTAGAATACGTTCTTTCCTTAGGCCTGTGGAAACCAAATGTTATGTTGACATATATAAATCAGACGTTATATGTATATGATGCATTTCGACATTGAAAACATAAACATGTTATTGTCTTTGTTTAACTACTGCATGCCGTCGTAAGCCAAAAGAGGTAGCATTACATTGGTCTGTGCCAAATACGGGAATCGAAAATATGTAACGTTATCTTAAATGCCAACTGTGTTCATTTCGCACCATTTTCGCACTTATTTTTTACTTAACTTAGAGGATGGAAAAAAATATAGTCTATAGATATGGAAGAATTTTTAAATTGTCGTTTTTATAATCTCCGGTACGCAAATGTCACTCACAGGCAAAGTCCAGTACCGGCACAGTAGTGACATCAATATGCAAGTAAAAAACCTTCACCATTACTAGTGAACGAAAACACCACCGTCATAGCTTAAGTCAGACAGTAAATGTAAAAGTTCCTATGTGAACTCACAGATGTCGCTGCACGAATCTAACAACCAATGTTTACGCAACAATTGAATATTGCAATGTTTTCCGACTGCCAATTGAACTGAGCTACTAAGTACTTATTAGTAATCATTAGAGCGTATCTGCCATCCAATTTCAAAATATTTAACCTTGCTAACTTCACGAGAATTGCAAACAATAGTATATATTATAATTCTACAAGTTAATCTCTTCTCCGAAGAATTCTACTCGAAAGTTACTTAATCTATTGTCAATGGAAACGATAACGATGTTACATCAAATAACAATCGATTGAAATAAAACAAAATCGTGCTTGTATATAATTATTTAATTCTAGCAACAATTGGCTGAATATTTTAAACAAGCGTAACAATCATCATAGTTGGATTGACCTGAATATTGCTTTGCCTTGTCCAAAAAAATATTATATATATTTTTAATGTCTACAAAAATAGGACTAAGCCTTAGCAATGTAGGGTATTTACTTCCATAAATAGACAGATATTCTTTCTTATATACAATAGAAACTATTCTAAACTTCTATGGTATAATATTGTTGTAATCTCTCGTAGGAATTCGTCTTCACTGAGACAATTTAAAGCTTTCAATTAACACTATTAAAGACCGGGCAGGCCCGGTTCGGCTCGTGTCAGCTGTGCTCGCCGCTAACGCTTCGCACCCTTCGAATCAGTTCTTCCACTCTTTTATATGGACTCTGACATCGTTCTACATTAGGTTGTATGTGATAAAGTGCTGCCTCACTGTCCTTACCCTCAGGTGTGTGACGTCCACTCGAGCTGTCTGTCGCAATAATAGTTGGCAAAAACGGCTCGACATCTGCCGTCGAAGCCACAACAGCCTCGGATGCAATCCTCTCAGCCTCTTTCTTCAACCAAACCGGGGAATTTACGTAGACCTTTGGCCTCTCTCTTAAAGCATTGCATCGCTCTAAAGCTGGTCGCCGAACCGGCACAGGAGGTCTGTACGCGGCTGGAATAGGGACTCCCCTTCCAAGTACCGTGCAAATGAGTCCTTTAAGAGCGGCTCGGAAGTCTCTTAAATGATAAGCGTACAGTAAGGGATTAATTGCGGAATTTAGGTGGGAAACTATGATACACACATAAGTCAAGGGATTAGGAATGTCTAACTCGGGCATGAACGCCTTGACTGCATTTACGGTATAAAGTGGGATCCAGCAGATGATGAAAAAGAAGACTATGATGGCGAGGTTCTGCGTGGCCTTCACTTCGCGTTTCTGAGCAGCGCCGAGCACCCGCAACATAGTGCCGCCTGCCGTGCGACCGTGACTGCCCCCCACCGTCATTACTTCGCTCATCTGAAATTAAATACATGGTTTCATTGCAATCGTACCAGTGAATAACTATGTTACGATGAGTTGAGATCGTGTATGTTTGCATTGTTATTTATCTTCTTTCGAGGCTAAAAAAGCTAATCACGTGTCTAGATCACAACGCACAATACAGTAAACAGTTTTATCATATGGTGACGGTTCCTTATCAATACTTGAACTAACATTTGAGTGTGCAACAGGAAAGACAACTTAGTGTTATTTCTGAGTAACCGGTTATAAAATGGAGCTAAAAACTTGATTTTTACGCGTTATATAACTCAATAGAATTGAGCACTATAGTCCCCTTGTTTAAGTACTTAACTAAATGTAAACAATCTTGATACATCTTATTAATGAAACATATGCTCTACAAATCAATAGGTATAAAAATAGGCATGCAATTTCATATGTAGCTAAGTATTTGTATTTTGTATTTGAAGATAAATAAAAATCATTTTATAAATGTACATTTCATTTCTCAAGATTGTTTACAATTAGTTAAATACCTAAACAAAAGGATTATAGGCCAGCGAGGAGATCACAAAAACCCCTCTACTCGCGAAAGGTGGTATACTTCTGATTTTTTAATATGTTGTTAGGGTTGGGCTCTCAATGATAAATACAAGTTTTCGAGCTTGGGTGGAGTGGGGGCGCTCAATGCCAAAAAATGGTTTCGGATAAATAACTCGAAAACTGTGGATTCTGCAATAAAAATGTGTAGAACAAAATCATCATATCAACCCATTTATAGGTTCCACTGCAGGCTCGGGTCTCCTGACAGCTCTGCTTGGGATGCGCTATGTTAAACCATTAGGCTACCACGGTTCAGGAACAAATTCATAGAACATAAATTGAGCATTAAGTGTTTATAGATATACAACATACTCGTAAAGATTAAAACTTAAAGTTTATATTTGTGTCGAACGTTTTTTTCTAGGGTTTATACTATTTTTTATTTATTCTTAATACCAAGTGACGGGACGAACAAGTTGTGCGTTCAGTGGTAAGCTGTACTCGACACATCTGTCCATTACAGTTGTACCCGCTCAGAGCTTTAAATTACAAAGACCTGCGGGACACCGACACTATGCACGTCACATGAGCCTTACACATAAGTTGAAAAGCTCCATGTGCCTGTAACTTCACCAGCACCCTTACAGTGCGTGTACACGCTAAGAAATTTGATGTGTCTGCTACAGAAAAGATGAGAATGGTCTTGTACACGACAAGAACTTTGTCGGATCTAGCCACGAAAATATGTCGTGTCTGTTGCAGACAAGAAAATGATGAGTATGTACACGATACGAATGCTTCCGGACAGACGTGCGTTGGGTAAACGTGTCAGTGCATTAACGAGTCTACTAATTATTTTTCCTCCGATATAGGTGCATTACTATGGCAAGATAAATACGCATAAATCATATACTACCGAAGTTTTTACCTAATAATAATTTTAAGAAATGTATATTTACAATTAATGTTTGTATTTACCACATTCATTTTTTTCTGTATTTGTCACATCTTAAAAATCTTCCTTCAGAATAATAAATATTTCTCATATTCGTATTTCTCTCCATGCCTCAAAAGTACGTCGTTTATCTTTATAAATCTCTAAGGTTTTGTCCTACAATACGGGTCGTTTTTCTACTAAACTTGTAGGTAAATCATGCATTTTATTGGTCGCAATAAAATTAGTGATGCAACAGTGGTACTTTGCAACACCAGTCCACGCCCCATACAATAGCGGCAGAGCGCGTCGTGTCGGGGGTAGACAAGATTTTGTCTTGTCCGGCGCCGACGCACAGTACACAGTTCGTATGTAGAAACGACACGAATTCTTGCATAGACCCGGCGACTTTTCTTAGCGTGGACACGCGCCCTTATCCTTCAAAACCGAAACGCAGAACGCTCACATTACTGTTTGTCGGCAGAAATAAGTATAGTATAGCAATTTTCCTGGACTCTTTCACAAGGAGCGTTCTGCTACTAAAAGTAGTGATTTACCTATTTTAACATGTTACTCATGATTGATAAACTGTATGCCAATAATATCATTTTAAGTGCACATACCGAATAGATAAACTTTGTTTAAATGTATATGTGTACCAGTTTTTTTTAAACGGAATTATACATTCTTTAAAACATTTATCAGCGTAAATTTTATTTATTTTCGGATTTTCTTTCGCATATACGTCTCACATTTGGTGGAGTGCCAAAGAGTCTTTCCCCGTAGTGATCTACAACATATTATAAAATCAGCCACCTCTTGGGAGTTTGATGATGACTGGCCTATGTAACATATGATGTCATTGTGTTATGATAATAATTTATCAGATTCTAGAAACTGCACAATTTAAAGTAACGACGACAAAGAATAAACTAAATGAAATATAAACCGTTCTCCACACACTATTTACTTCTCCTACCGACACAAACGCCCCAGAGCTCAGTATTTATTGTTGTTTAGATGCAAGGACACTATAATAAAGTGAATGTCTTTACTAACACAATACGTAATTATTCCTAATTAGTAAATAGAAAAGTTCATGGGCCATTCCAGAGTAGCGATGCGCGACTTTGAATGTTACTAATACTAATCATTCGAATGCGCAAATCATTCGCCTAAGTCGAATCCAAGCACAATCATTCGACTCGAGTCGTAACAATACCTAATGCCAATGCCATTCGGTCGAGTGCACGAGTCGAATGATTATTATACTATTGGAACACCTCATTCATCATGTCCATACCATCCCTGTCTCCGTCACATTTACAGTATTTACTATTATGTCAGAGAGGGCTAGGTGATCACGAGCAGAAATGCTCTAAAGAATCTATGGATTGATACTACTAATTATAATGATTTCAAATCATTCGAATACGAAAATTAGTAGGTTACTAATTTGACATTCGAATGTCAGGATTAGCGATTACTAACGAGTCGAATATCGAATTCATTCACAATCGCGCATCGCTATTTCAGAGGTATGGCAGCATTTAAATAAAAATAGAACTTACCTGTTTAACAACAACACGATAAATGTGCGCATAAAATGCTGTCATCAATACGCTGGGAGTGACGATTGTAGCAAAATACAGGAACACCAGGTAGTTATAGTCCATGACTTCGACGAAGTAGCATCCAAGCTCAGGATCCACGGTTGCGTGCCATCCGAAGAGGGGGAGTAGTCCCACTAGCGATCCTGCTACCCAGCATACAGATATTATCACTAAAAAGAAAAAAAGTAGCTTCAGTTTTTATAAACCTTTATTTACATTATTATAGTCCACTTGTTCAGGTACTTATAACTAAATGGAAACAATCTTGAGATGTCTATTTAATGAAATATACATTCATAAAATGATTTTAATTTACCTACAAATACAAAATACAAATACTTAGCTTCATGTGAATTTGCATGCCTATTTTTATATCTATTGATTTGTAAAGTACATGTTTCAATAAAAAGATGTATCAAGATTGTTTACATTTAGTTAAGTACCTAAACAAATGGACTATAAGTCATTAAATCATTCATTATACCTATTTACCAAGTCCAAATCTTTGCGTGGATTTTATAATAATAGAACCGAATAGAACGTATTAAAAAACTTGTGCATTTCGGTGTTGGCTAAGAAAGTGGAGACTAAAGAAGCTAATTTCTGTGGACATTTGTGTAAAGTGACATTACTATAGGTAGGTGTAATTATTTTAAAAAACCTATTAATTTTCAAATACGAAAATTACAATTACAATTATTTATTTCTAATTATGAATATTACAACATTTTAAAATGTATTGCACTGACTAAAATTCGACAACCGCCTAATTCCGGCAAAAACTTATGAAATTTTTGAGGCACTGTTACCACAGTGATAAATACCTACAAAGAATATACAATAGTAAAAATTATTTGTAGGTATTTATCACTATTGTATGTATTATGTGTCACATGGTATTATACACATATACACATTGTGGAAAGTACTGATAGATGTGCAATTTTTTCGAAAATGTATTATTGTAAAAATCGTATTTTTCCGTAATTTTGCTATATTCGTAAAATGACTTACGCTTGGAAATAAAGCTGTAGTGTGTAGTTTATATTCAAACGTTACTGTTGATTGGATGCAATCATACGACTGAATTGATACCAACAACAGCTCAGATTTGTAGTAAAATCACGACCGTTTGCATGTTACCATTTCTAGTCTGAGAAGCATAATTCCCAGATGTTGTAATGTCGTCGATGCATTTCCTTGCGATTTTCTAATAGTTTTTTATTGTAAAAACCATGGGAGAAATGAACTCCTTGTATATTGCATTTCTTTTTATTGATGTCAAAAATGATACCTATAATTTACACTTACATTCTTAACACTCTTACGCCTTTCTAGGTTTGTTTGAGATATTCGCACCCTTCGTGCTCTAGTAGCAGTAGAGCTCCTGATGAAAGAGTTCATCCAGAGAAGTACTGCCACCTTACCAATTTCTACTGCCAAGCAGTAATGTGAACATTGATGCGTTCCGGTTTTGAAGGGTAAAGGTGCTGGTTAAATTACAAGCACATAGGACTTATCAACTTATATCTCAGGGTGACGAGCACAGTGGCAGTGGCAGTGGTAGACAGTTAGATTATAAAATAAAAAAATAAGGCTACATCTGCAAAATAAGAATTTTCCATGAGAAAGATTCAAAGATCGAAATCAGTTGAAAACTTTTTATTTAAATTGTAAGACTATAAAAGTTTTACATGTAAGAAAATTCGTTTCATGTGATGTATTTTTAATATTTTCATGTCATACACAAGCACTTTTGACGTATGACATGTAGCTTTATTATATCAAGAGTATATATTATTACATACTCATATTTTACTATTCTGTGTCTTAACTGATCGATCTTAATTCGTATTTTTTAAAGTGCAAATGTAGTTTATAAAAGTTTCTTAATCACATTATCTACACCTTTTCACAGTGACTCAAGCCATTGTTGATTTTCTTAAAGAACTAGTTTATAAAACAATGGTTTCCAGTAGCCATAACAATGCTTGTCCGGCTGTTACCACTAACCACATACTTACACTACGAGTACTTGACGTATTTTTCTTACTCACGTACCAGTAGATTATTTTTTAAACGACTTCAAAAAAGGAGGAGGTTCTCAACACGTCTGTATGTTTTGTGTGTGTATGTTATGCGATTACTCCGACATTTCAGAATCGATTTCGATGATTCTTTTTTTTATTAGGGCTAGTAATGGTCCCGTTCAAGTTTGAAGAAAATATTCAACCTTTAAGGCTCAATTTATGTTGCGGCGGAACGGAATGGAAGCGGATTTTTGTAACGATTTTGTAGACAGCGTAATGAACTTTATGGTCAATTGTGTAACAAACTAGATACGAGCCAAAATCGTCCGCGGAACTCTCACGCAATCTGCGGAAGATTTTAGTTCGTATCTAGTTTGTACGTTATGCAATTGACCATAAAGTTCATTATACTGTGTACAATAGCGTTACAAAAATTCGCTTCCATTCCGTCCCGCCGCAATATGAATTGAGCCTTAGGATGACAATTGAATTTCATTCAATAAATGGGACTCATCCCCCAATTCTTTATTTCAATAAAACTTGGCACATAGATGTAAGTAGGTACAATGAAAATAAAACACAACGAAAACGGATAAGCAAACTTTCGAAATAATTATTATGGTTTATAGACTCATGTGAGTAGACAGAGATGAATGGAAAAGGAAGGTTTTTGGTAGCAGTACGGCTCCTAGTGAAAGTGTTCGTCCAGAGAAGAACTACCACCTTACCTAGTTCTGCCACCAAGCAGTAAAATGAGCATTACTACGTTCCGGTTTTGAAGGGTAGGTTAGATTACAGGTGAAATTACAGGCACATGGGACTTATCAACTTATGTCTCAGGGTGACCGACGCAGTGGCACTGCCCCTCCAATCTTAGCGTTTTAAAGGTCTAAGTGGCAATGCAACTGTTGTGGATAGCCGTGTCGCTTACCACGGTTGTTCGTCCCGTCTCTTGGTATTAAATGAAATATAAAAAAAAATTAAGACATACGCTGTCAGTCCCAAAGGATAAAAAATAATATTGTATTAAAAACTGCTATTTTTTTCTATTCTTTTTTCCTCAATGGTTCAAAACGAATTGTCATAGTGTAATTAGTAATATCAGTTACGTACATATGAGTGAATGAGTCATTATTGAATGATTAATTTTGGATTAATTTTCGGAAAATTCTGAGTTGCCTACTACGTAATTTTTTGTAACATTCCATTATCGGCAAAAACCGAGTATTCTTCTGGTTTGTAGCCTCGTGAATTTATTTTATACATCGTACCTATTCGTAGCACATCTAAAGGTAATTTGGCTTTAAGATATTTGTTACGAGCTTAAAGAAACTTAGACTATAACTAAAAGTAAATTTAGTATTTTATTTTATTTTATTTAGGTATTAAATAAGACAGCAAGAAACGGCTATCAGGTAGGCTCTAGCGGAACATAATATGGTTTTTAACATCTATTCAAAGAAAGTAATACAATCCGTCAACAGTAAACGTATTGTCAAATTAACCTGAGGAAAATAATTATAATTAAACAATTTCCTCCATTCCAATGCTGGCCGTGTAGATAACGAAACATTTCATACATAGTACATGACAATAAAAATTGCATTGTGCATTGCGACTGCATATTATATTAAGTTGTGACGTAGCAATGTAACATACTGCCACAGCGCTGCGTCGGTTGTACATTTCCAGTGGAAGCTGACACACTTGGACATTAGCGGCCATATTGAACTAAGTTTTATAGACCAGTTTATACTTATTGTCGGGGATAGAATCCGCGTACATAGTATTGGTAAAAGATGCGTATCTGCACTGAACCAAATATTTACATGAGAAGATTTAACGTTAATACTTTGTTATTTCAATGACTTTGGACTTTCATTTTTGCGTAGTAAGCATTAATTTATGTGGTCTACGGACTGATAACAAGAGGTTCCCGTAAATCATGGTAATTTGGTTGCCACGACATTTACGCAGCTTTTGGCCACTATATTACTGAAATGGTAACTGATCATCCAATGCTAGTTACCCGTAATTGCACTATCCCGACAGAGGCGGCTCGTCCTAAGGAGCACTGGTGCAGTGAACTCCCACTCCTATCCAACCCACCAAAATAAATTTATTAATTATGCTTTCATATTATATTAATAGCCGCAGTATTTGTAGTTGATTAATGAACGACAAACATACAATTAAATTTTTATCTTCCTCTTTAACATAGTATAGCATACTGACCCTTGAGTGGAGCGCTTCGCGATGCGCTCCTATGCACCGACATTGCTTAGAAAGTTTAGTACTGAATTGTATGAGTGCGAAAGAGAAATTTCTTAACGGCGCAACACGTGAAACAAAAGATTAGTATGAGAAAATTTAGCAAGATTTGAGCGGCGCTTCGCGCAAATAAGCAAACCGTATTTTTTGCGCGCGCATTTTGTTGTGTTGTAAAAATTCTTATTATTCAATCGTTGTTAAGAAGCGTAGTGTTGTTTAGTGGCATTGTTTAAAATGGAACACTGTAATGTGAGTTTAATTTTTTATTTAAAATATGTAACCATGTGGCAAGCAATAAAGATATGAATATGAATATGCATAAGTAAGTGAACTCCCACTGAAATCTCCCACGTGCCGCCTTTGATCCCCGACGTTATATCATTGTGCACGAAAGGAGCCCTCTTGCACGACCGCGACGTAACATTCCTTCCCCGTGTGTCTGGCACACCCTGGGCAACCTCCTCACCTACCTCACGGTGATTGGCAAATCCTTTAAGCACGATGGCAAGCATTATAGTGTATGCCATCGATACGATAAGAAGAAGCAGGGGACTGGTAATGTTCTACTATGGTTCTCTTTATGTCTGTACTATTGTGTATTTTGTGCTTGCGTTGTAAGTACCTCCTAAGGTTGTACGATACCTATTTCACCTTGGATATTCGATAGAAACCCTATCCTTATCCCGATACGGAAAAGGAGGCATAAAGGAAGCATTAACAATAGTGCTCGCATGCATGATTGATTGCTACCTAGAGCCTAAAGACAGTGATGGACTGAAATGATGAGGCATCACTAAAAATAACCTAAGTACTTTTTTGTTGCAAGTTATATCGCAATACAGGAAACGGTTTTTTTTTAAGATATTTTGCAGTTGGTCGCTGATGACTCTGACTGCACAACAGAATAAAAGGACGAGCTGAATAATTTCCGTATAAAAATTTCAGCAGCGGGCTTGAGGGCGCCCAGGTGGGCATGGTCGTTGGTTTTGAACTCTACAGAACATTTCCGACAGAAGGGTGTGCTTTAAAGAAGAAACTGCGAGAGAACACGCTGAACTGGAGGGCTCTTCGTTGCGAACTGGTTGAACTGTAATGTGGCGAGAGAGGTCCTCGTTGTGGACTTTCCTGGGTCAACGGGTCCTACGAGCACGGGTGTTCCCTAAGGAGAACTGATTGGCAGCAGTCACCAAGAAAGTATTAAGGTGGTGAGGAGCAGAGGCGAAGTACGTTATTGATGTCTGGAAACAAAAGACTAATTAAATTATATGAAATGCGAGGAAATGCGGCAAGCGTGATGGGATGGTGATGGGCACCTTTGTCAGTCAGGGGTGGGCTATTTGACGAGTATGAGCACTGAACCATGTAATTTGTTATTTCTTGACTTATTTAAATTATTTGTTATTCATGACTATACTAAATTATATTATTATATTTCAGATTTTCGTCTCTGACGTTGCGTAAAAGACACATTTTGGAATATTAAGTGAAAGAAACGGTATTCCCCGAAAAGTAGTACAGTCGACGGATAACAAGGAGACAGAGTCATGGATTCGATTGAAACCTTTATTGTAACAAGTAAATACGAAACACATTTATCTCACCGCGGAGTATCCCTCGCAAACAATGTTTTCCGATTTCCCCTACAAGGCGAGGCTCCAGTAACTTTAAGTTTGCATACACCGATAGCTTCTTATGTAGACATGTACCTACATTAGATAAGTTGAATTGGGTAAACAATAAATATGAAACATCTCACTTGTGTCAACAAATGTAATATCAATGTTTAATTTCAACCTTCTGGGAATATTTCCTAAATAATTGAACCATATGACCAGTTTTACATCAAATATAAATACACTGAGAAACATAGCTCTTTAATGAAGTTAGCCACTCAGAATACGCGATGGAATCGTTATTGAAATAGTTTCAACCATTGTGCTTCACAAGCTCAGAACATGTTAAAAGGTAACAAATTATAATGATCACCCGAAACAATTGATACGGTCCCCCAAAACAACATCTTCGTCATTTCAATCTTATTATTTCTTCAGTGTAAAGTAAGCCTTCACATATTCCGACTCCATATTTCATTCGTGAAATAATAGAATTGAATTTACTTAGGTGTTCTCATCAAATAAACAACGCAATTAGGTTTTCCTTAAAAGAATTTTTTCAATATTTTAAATTTCATTCACGGCTTAATACAAGAATAAGGAAAAAAATGTTTATTGGGCATTATTTAATTATGCTTTTATGAATGTGATTGTAGTCTGAAACTTCTTAAAAAATGACAGTTGATTCATACACATTTCAAAACTATAAACTGTTTAAACCGATACCAAATGTGTTACGAATTTCGAAATTTAGACAACTGTGTCTAAAGATGGACGTACCTTTTTTTGATTGTCAATGTAATCGAAGATATCACTTGGAAAAAGATAAAGCAACAATGAAAAACTGAGTTCATATAATGTATTTTCATAAAACCAGTCAACCAAGAGTCGCTTTATATTCCCAAAATTGGTAAATTCAAAGATAGTGGATCTGTCCAATATAATTCTCGTCGCAGTTGAAAAGGGTGCCTGTTATTATCCATCTGCCGCAGCATGTTCCCTTGTTTTAATGGAATATATTTGGATTAAATTGATTTCTTATATATGGATTCTGCCATTGGTATTATATACTGACTTGTAGAAATAGATTTTTGGTAATTTATAAAAACAAGCAAGTAGTACTAAAAGAAAATTTAATGGTATAATGTAATCTTAACAAACTAAAACAATTTACATTTTAATATTCGTAAATGAGATTTTAGACAGAATCTTCTGAAATATAATTAATGCATTAAGATAATTCAAGAAGTATTCTTATATGTAACTGTATAATAATAATAATAATACATATAATAACGCAATGGACGTACCTGAGCAGTCTCATACTAGACAAATCAATTTTATTTACCTCTTTCAAATTATAGAATAGAACAAACAACTAGCTATGAACTTAGAATGTTAAGAGTGGGTGGAACCACATGTGTAGAATAAGTCACAAAATATTTCATATGTAATAAATGGTAATAAGAACGTATAACAAATATCTCGAGAACTTAACAATTAGCGGTGTTAAGTGCGGATAAGGCAAAAAAATGGCAGTATATACCGTTGACATCACCAACATTTAACAATTGAAAGATAGAAACGAAACTAAGTGTAACTAATATGTACAAATCAGTGATAATATAATGGAACAAAAACATCTACACCGTGTTGGTTTTACCAAGTACAAAATATTTACCTGTATTCAATTGGGGATTTTTCGGGTTTCCCAAACAAGCAAATCCACGAAATCAAATTATCTATGTTAAGACCTTCAAAATTAAATGCAAATAAAGACACAATGTTAAATGACTAATGTTGAAGTGAGAAAATGGAATAACTAATTCAGGCATATTTTTTTCGTTTGGTTGTAACACTTCACCCTGCTAAATCACTCCACTTGGCACTTCTTAAAATTGAACTGCTTTCGTTAATATATCATGAACCCTGCGAAGACCACCACCATTATCGTGAAAGCGGGCACGTTTCGGACGGCCGAGTTTTTCTTCAATGACTGAGTCGCATACTGCTGCAGCACACTGCACGGAATTGTCTTTTCCATCTTTGACACAGGCGTTGTCTTCATGATAACACATTTCATGCCATCTGTAACTTTAACTGGATCTCCCTTTACTTCTAAAGCGTTTGTCACTGTTGTTGTATTGGTGACTGTAGTTGTTACAACAGACGTCGCGTTATTATTGGCCGGAACGTCTTGAGTCGTTACATTGGCCGGAGTTGTTCCATTGACGGGCACTAGAGTACCATTAGGCAACATTCTATAAAGAATTTCGGACTGCGCCACAGTTGCTGTGTTTGTTCCGTTTACATTGCCGTTTATAGTCGTCACGTTTGTGACGGTAGTCGTAGTGACGACAGTGCTGTTCTGACCATTAGTTTTCTTTTCCGCCTCGGAACTCAAAATAATGCCCGATATCACTTGACAATCTATCCTAGTTTCCTCATAATCGCCGTTGTCTTTCCTTATGCCAAGTTTACAAACCTCGCCTGGCGTTGCCTGGTAACTGTGACCTCCATGATTTTGATTTGAATTGTGAAGGGCGTAAGCCGCAACGCCTAGCGTTCCAAGATTCATCAGAGCAAGACCAGCCAGGAGAGTACCGTACTTGCTTCCAGAGTCCTTGTACTTGTACACGTAAGTCGGCGGTGTACCTTGGTACACTGGATATGTTACTGGTTTACCATGAGTAGGCGTGTAAATAATTTGTTTTGGAGGATTGTAATGGTAGCTTGGTGGTCTTTGTGAATATCCGTGGCCTGCTCCTGATAACCCACTACCACTTCCAGGTTGTGGATATCCATGGCTGCCACTACCTGACAAACCAGGGGATGGTGGGTATCCCGGATTGCTTCCATGCGAGGGATATTTATTTCCTGTTCCGTGTCCCGATAGACCACCAGAAGGCGGATATCCGTGACCTCCACCAGGTGAAGGGTAACCATGTCCGCCACCAGAAAGTCCTCCAGAGTGAGGATAATTATGACCACCACTACCAGACAGTCCACTACCAGATTTGGGGTAGCTGTGACTGCCGCCACGTGATGCAAAACCCGAACTTTTTCTTGCTATTATTGGATCTACAATACATAGCGCTATAACTGCGCAAAGTAACACACACTTTTCCAAACGCATTACGCACTTGTTTAATTGAATATGACCACTAAAAATACACTCACTTCGTGCTCTTGCGCATTACCGACTGAAGTTGTGCGCAAGTTACCAAACGAGACAGACGGTCACAAGTACCTGAGACGGTGAATGCATTTAGGTCGTTAAAATGCGTCACAAAATATTGCCAATGCAAATGTTTATGGTCCCCTAAACTCAACGCTTTAAAAATTTCATTATGGAACACTTCAATCATGTAAAAATAAAATAATAAAACTTATATAAGTTTAGTATATAGCTTTTAGTACATATTAACAAACATATAGATTAACAAATTCTTAGGAAACCTGTCGGAAAAATGGCTAAATACATTTAAAAAGCCTTCAAAATTTACAAAATTAAAATGCTTACAAGTGGAAAAGTCCTAGAAAAGTGAAATTTAAAAAAAAATTAAAATACCAAGGATCGTATTCCAGAACTCTACTCAATGCTCAAGTCAGGAATTGAGTATGATTTAAAGCACTGAAAATCATACTCGAGTCCTTGCCATTAGGGTCGTATTTCCAGTGCTTGAAATCATACTCAAGTCTACTCAAGTCCTGACTTGAGCATTGAGTAGAGTTCTGGAATACGACCCTAACTCTTAAACTGGTAGTCGATTATACTTCATTACAGGCGATTCCACAAATTTAATCATATTATAATTACATCATTTAATGAGATCTCAATTTTATTGCCATCAAATTTTTTTTCCCTGTGCCCAGAAAATATTTATAGCGATAAAATTAAAATGAAATCCATAACCATTAAATCAACAAAACTATTTCCCACAAAATAAGTAAAATAAAACTGGCAACATCACTTGTTTGACACAAGTGAGAAAAAAATTTATTTGCCTAGCCGACGCCATTGTCAGATATTGAGGCCTTGGATTGGTTAGAACCAGTTCTACCCCTCCCTGCCATCATTGTGGAGTCTCGTCTATTGAAAAGACAAACTCACTAATATTTGCAAATATAATGTTGTTTCAAAATAAATTACTCGGTTTACACATTTATGCTTAGCACGTTTTTTTTGCTTTTAACTTACTGGAAAACTTATCTTTAGAAAACTGTGTTAAGAGTCATGGTTTGATGTCGCCACTAATAGCGACATCTAGCGACTTTATGTTGTATGATTTGAAATTAATAGTATAATTTCTACTTTGCGTGCGCACTAGTTCCGGACTCGAGTAAGAACCGCAGATGGCGTTGTAATTAACCTGGTGTGTAATGTTAACAGTAAAAAAAATATCCTGTTACGTATGCATTGTATTTCGTGTTGTGTGCGTTTCTTCTTCAAAAGTGTTGAATGTATATTATAATATTGTATAACACACAACATCACTCGATTCTTATGTGTAAACGACGTAATGAGTCACAATATTTCCTACGATAACATAAACATTAAGACACACCTAGTCACAAGTTGTGAAATATGACGTTATTAGATTCCAGTAGGTATGTTTTCAGTAGGCAGACATGAATGCAAGCTATGTAGATGGATAAGGGGTTTATTTACTATAATATAGTGTCAAGTTGTCAAACTCTGATCGGCATGCTGCTTTTGATTAAAATCGGAATAGAACCGGTCGGGTAGTCTCGAAATCAGATGGATTTCCGAGCGAGAAGATGAACCTGATTCCTACTATATGTTTCTAATTTGTGAGTTAAATCAACTATGGTTTCGACTTGAAATGTCAAAATTTTTCAATCGGCCAGTTATGAATCGCAATTATGCGCCTCGATTCGGAAGAGACGCAGTTTCCGATCGGGAGAGGCAATCAAAATGAAGCTGCAGCACCATATTCAAATAATATGTTGTAACAGAGGTTATCTTTAAAGTGATGTGAACATAAACAATGTTGATTACAGTCCGCCTACGCGACGCATCTCGCGTTTTGACTTATTTAATTGACAGGGGCCCGAGTTAGCGCGTATAGTAATTCTAAACCATTAACAAATTTTAAATTTTAAGAAATGCATCACACTGATTGTTATATTAAACAATCATATACAACCATACTCCTTCTCTGTGCTAACTAGTTATTATTACTTATTGAGTGAAAAAATTATTCATCTTTGCCATTAAAGCTACGAAGACAACAGAAAATCATTGCATCTGTATATCTTGTTATGGATAACCATGCTTACATTTAAACACATGGATGACTATTTTCCTTCTTTTTATTGCTAAACACAACTTCTTCTGTAATATGCAAACATACACAAACAACAAACAAACATTCACGCATTTCAAATTTACTCAAGTCAACAAGTTATATTTTAAACCCAAGCCTGAATACAGAATATAAAGAAGCTAATTCTTGAATGAAAATACGACTATCGATGTCAATTGCTTACTTCTATTAGAGAAAAAAACCAATTCTGGTCGTATGAATAGTGTAATAGACGCCATTACCATTAATCCTTACAAAGTTCTTACGTTTTTTCGCTATCTTTTGGATTATCTACAAGGAATTTCAGCGATCATTGACCGTGCTTACTTACATTTTCTCCGTCAAATGCTCCAAAATAAATAGACTTATCTCTTATTTATATATACAAAAATGGAAAATTTTGCCATCGAGAAAAAATAATAAGTCATATCTTAGTAAAAAACCTGGAACTATCGATAATTATTTAATACACACAATTTTTATTCAATACGATGTTTTTATATGCATCTATAGGGTCAACTTTGAATATGCTCTTGTGAAACAATGGCAATGTGCCCAAAAGTTTTCTTCATATCGATAAGTTTAAGCATAAGCATAATTATGTCATTTTGATTCCCTTAGCAGAGTTATATTAAACTCTTCTATTGTTAATTAAACGCAGAGTATTATAGATTAACTGAGTATTTAATGAGAAAAATTGAAAATATAATTTATATAAAGGATTGTTATAGTCAAAAATATCTTTAGGTACAAGTACAGAGCACATTAAATTTTGGGATTTGTATTTTTTACTTTACGTACATTAAAATATTTTATGACTTAAATTACTTCTAAATTTGAATGGCAAGGTAAAGCATTCTAAATCAATGTGTGCTACAATCACATTAGACGCATCAGTATATCGAGCATATAACCAGAAATAGATACTAAATAAGGGCCATCCATCCCAGTCCATCAGTCAAATGGGACTTGCAAATATTAACTCCCAATTGCACTGAAATAGTATACTAGTACAGCGCCAACAACTGACCTGTGTCTATGTCTCCGTATATTCCAAAAATATTCTAGGTAATAAAGATAATATCTGTAACAATGGGGGTTATTCTATTCGGTGGTGTGGAAAAAACAGCAAAACATCTAATATAAACTGGTTATATACTCAATGCATCACTATAACAATTTTCTCATAAAGATTCCAAAAAAACATTTATATTACGTAATAATAATTAATTTTATCTGACTAAACAGCGATGAACATAGCAAGCCACCACGGCGGTTTCTGATACCATTGCTTTAGAGTGCTTCTATCAGGTAAAATCCCGTTTTCCTTTTTTGGTTCAGGCATCTTTGCATATTCGAAAAGCACGCTACAGTTAACAGGATGGCGTAACACAGATGAAGAAGTTTGAATCTCTACACTGCATTCCATATTCGTTGAACCACCACTGATACGCGGTCCTGTCATTGTCAATGGGTCAATCTCCTGCACTGTTGTGGTGCACGTAGTAACTGTGGATGTTGTTGAATTCACTTTCGTAGCCTTTGATGATTCTGGAGTTGATATACTCAGTGGTACATTAGACGACACGTTCGACGTATTATTACCAGGTAAAACGGTTGTGTTTATAGATGATAAGGTAACTGGAGCAACTGTAGTAACTTCTATTTGCACTGTAACTGTTGCCGTTGAATTGTCTGATGTGGCATTTACTGTACTTGAAATATTTGTCATATTTAGATTTGCAGATGTCACATTCAATGGTACGATGGTTAATATCCGAGGATCTAATGTCGTCGACGAAACTGGTGCAGCAGTTGTAGAAGCTTCAGATGTTATATTTTCAATCAAGCCTGTGCGCACCGCAGTTGTAGCGTTTACATTTGTGACATTTGTTAGCATAGTTACCTTCAATACTGAAGGCACTAAAGAATTAATAGACTCTGTATTATTAGTAGTAGTAGTATTTGTCACACAAACTGTTGTGTTATTTACTTTGATTTCTTTTTTACTCCCTTCAGTGAATGTGGAAACAATTTCGCAAGGTACCTTCAGCACTTCTGTTTTGTCATTTTCCTTGACTTTTAAGAAGCAAGTGGCTCTATCTTTAGGTGCATTGTCTGGGCTATAACCGCTGGAAGGCTGATAGTACCTTCGTTGATAATAATCGTCATAATAATAGTGATGATAGTGATCATTGTGAGATCGGCCCAAGTTGTAAAGAGCTAAGCCTGTCAGTAGATCACTGTATCGACTTCCTGAATTTCTGTACTCTTGTACGTAAACGTAACTTGGTGTATTGTAATAGTGGGTATTTCCATAGCCAGGATAATAGCTATTGTAACTGTTGCCAGTATGATACGTATTACTCGGATGATATGGTGGGCTGTGAGGAGGTCTGTAATTACTTGCACCTGTGTTATAAGTTGGATAATACGTGTTCGATGAAGGATGGGTATTTGAAAATCCTGACCCAGACGATGTGGGATAAAAAGGTTTCGATGACCCAGAAATTCCAGTTGACGATGGGTAATTCGGTTTTGATGAACCTCCTGACAGCCCTGTCGATGGTGGATAGAGAGGTTTCGATGCTCCAGAAAGACCCGATGATGATGATGGATAGCTTGGTTTAGATGATCCGGAAAGGCCTGTTGAAGATGATGGATATGTCGATCCAGAACCAGAAAGGCTTGACGATGAGGATGGATAAGCGGGCCTTGACGATCCAGATCCAGATAATCCAGATGACGAAGAAGGATAACTAGGCCTAGACGATCCAGAACCAGACCAACCAGATGACGAAGAAGGATAACTGGGCCTAGACGATCCAGACCCAGACAACCCAGATGACGAAGAAGGATAACTGGGCCTAGACGATCCAGACCCCGACAATCCAGATGACGAAGAAGGATAACTGGGCCTAGATGATCCAGACCCAGATAACCCTGATGATGAAGAAGGATAACTGGGTCTTGACGCTGAGCCTGAAGACCACGAGTTACTTGAGCTAGTGCCCGACGATGATGATGGTTTGCCCCATGAAGAACTTGAACTGCTAGATCCCCAACTCGATGAAGGCTTACTCCAGGAACTGGAACTTGATGATGGCCTACTCCAGGAGCTAGAACTACTTGATCCCCATCCACCTCTTCTTGAGCTACCGCCTCCTCTACTTCCGCCACCTCTGCCACATTCTATAACGTTAGCACACAAACACGTAAGTGCTAGACACAACAGAATTATTCTGTTGGCCATATTTACCGATTAACATACGCGTCACTCAAACGCGCACTCGCCCCGATGTAAGGAAAACGACTAATGTTCATAAATATCCAATTAATTTATAAGAACACAAATATGACCTCATCGCATAGTGGGAATTCCGCTGTCTCTCTCTATACCCATAACCGAAAGCTGGCTGACCAGTTATAATGATATAGTTATCATCAAACGTCTCTTTTCAACTCCAAGATAACGTAAGTTGAAAGGTGATTTATACATTGAATGCCGATAACACTGCAACACACTAACAACAACCCATTTTTAGAACTCATTAAATAATGTAATGAAGTCCCAAAACAACGTTAGGAAAATCTACATATCGATAACATACGATTGATTTACCCCCGACAATAAGTAACTAATTACTTGATATAAACTGTACACACGCACATCCAACTACATATTTGATCAACGTATTTTTGAAATGTGGGAATTTTAATGTGGTAGTCTTCTAAAATGTGTTTCTTGTTTTTTGTACCCCTGTCATAAACCATATCTTAGAGGCGTTATTTTTAGTTCTGTATCAAAATTCTATTATCTATGGTACTCGCCACTGAGCCACATGAATGAAAAATTTCATGAAAGTTCCGTGCACAGAACTATACTTAATTAATACTATAGTACTGTACACAGAATAATAGCGAGTTTCAAAAAAAGAACGTCGTATTATTACTAATTAAAATATCAATTACAACGCAGAGAAATATGTGCAGTACTTGACCAGTTCTATTCTATCTCTATGGTTTTTTGTTTCGTTGCGTTTTTTTTGGCTTTCGTGTGTATGGTGGAGGTACTGTACAGTGGAACCTTTGCCTACCCTAATAAATGGATTAATATTTATTAAAAAAAATACGTTTGTTGTGATGGATTGTTAACAAAATATACATTAGATATTGGTTCTGTTTCATTATTTTATTTACTCGTAGAAAATCATTACATAGTTAAGTCTTAAAATCTCGTACTTATACTTGGGCCAAATGCTTAAATCTGCTTAAATATAAATACGTTAAAGTTAAACTGCCACTCACAGTGGCCGAAAGGTTACCATGCTCTTCTCTATTTATGTAGAAATTAATATAACTTTCAAATTACACAAAGTCAAATTTTACATTCTATCGAAATTACTTGGTCATCTAAATTAACATAAAAATAAAATAATTGGAAAAATATAAAATATTAACATTCATTTGTTGGTAGGTCAATGATGCAGTTGTACAATTTTGCGCGAATAAAATGTGCAAAACTGATATATAAAATATTTGCGCGCGCAAAAACTGTAATAAAATAAAAAAAGACTAATAATGACTGCTGCGTTTCGATAAGAAATTGGCAGTCTCCTAGTTATATAGGGTGGCCCATTTACATACGTACATTTTATAGAGGACCTTTGTAATCTTTAACATTGGCCCATTTAAAATATAATGTTTACGTTCCGCGAAAAGAAAAGACTCTAGTTTGAAAACTATTCCATTAAATTAATTGAAATTTGATGTGGAAGTAGTGTGATCGTGCAGCTAACATGCAATGAGCCATTTTTGTATTTGTTCTTGGATTGCGCCGTTATTTTAGACATTTAGGAGACTTTTCATTTCTTCACGAACAATTCCTTCTTCGAAAAATTCCTTCTGTAAAAATTTTTTTTAATTTGAAATGGGTCGTTACAATGGCAATGTCCAATATCTAATAAAAAAATTTGAACTACTGTTAATGGGCCACCTGTATAGTAAATCGGAATACTCTAGTATATTGATCTAAATTTCAAACAATGTGTATATTAATTACGTTGATTATTGTAAATTATTAAGAAAATGAAACTATTTTTCCCAATTGAAATCGCGTATATTTGTTTTTTCAAACAAATTGACATTTCGGGCCGTTTGCTGGTCCCATGGTCACAGTTGACTGAAACGGTTATAAATTATTATTAGGAACATGCTGTAGCCAGCATGCGTTGCAATACCACTGAAAAACTAAGTAATAAAAAAAGATGGCCTACCTCAGAAGAGATTCGACCTTATCACTTGGTATGGAAATTTAGAAGTTTAGATTTTTTATTTCAATTTTTAACATTTTGGGATTTCAGACCGAGTGAATTCACACATGCATATTACTTGAATTTAGATAAATAAATACATATTCTGCTTATTTACGTTTTAACGACTTCTTTGGCCGATTTACACTGTGGGCGCTGGATGCAGCGGTCCCGGGTTCTATTTCCGGTGAGACTAATTTAGGAAATGATTTTTTTAAATTAATTTTGATGCACCTAAGTGAATTCCGTGGCTCTGGTACTCCTAGTACAGTGAATTCCCCGGTTTGAGACCAGGCAACTGGTGTAGTCGTCTGATACATCATTACATTCTTATTGTGATTATTATTTCGATCTGTTTTAATAAATATTAGCCAAACTTTAAGTTTTTAATAGAATTGAAATAAACAATTAATTATCAAAAAGTTGCGTCATGATTTCGTCATGAGTCTGTGTACATATATAATGACTTTCATTTTTGACGTTTCATAAATGTTCTTATAACTATTTCTTCGACGTTCTGATACTAAAGAATAAACAATGAGTAATCTTGTTCTCCATTTATAACAGCAAATTAAGTTTATTTATGCATAATGAAGTGCTATTCTTTTACTCACGTGACGAAATAATGGATACTAACAATGGCTTGTAAATCTCAATGTAATAATCTTTCAACTTGTAATCGTCGTTCGTGAAGGCAGCTGTCGCTCTGTCACGCCTTGTCGCAACCGCACAAAGCCTCAGCCACAATAATAGTTCAGTTCCAATCATGTCGTTGTTAAAGCTGCACATTTAAAATGTTATTCGGTCTTGTACTTGTGAGTTCACTATCGATAGTGGTGTGTCTCGAGCCCCGCCAACCCAAGCCATACGTTTTCCCTATACCTTTCGAAATGCCAAACCGAAACGAACGCGCCGAACAGTGCTGGGTCAGAATCGAAGATGCCGAGTACGTGGAGACACTTGCGATGTACTGCTACATGGCACATGACTTTCTACGTACTTATATACGCGATTACAATAGCAGAAAGATGGCTGAGGATGAAGTAGACGTCAGCCTGTGGAACGAGGAACCAATCGTCCTCAAGGAGCTGCCCATACCAAAAAGTTCAGATATCCTGGGCAACAACGGACACTTGATAAAGGACTGGAAAGCCACTACTGTGTTAGACCCAACCACGCACATGAGACTGTACGTGAGCCAGAACGCTGACTGCCATCTTATCATGTACAGCAGAGAAGGAATGACGAACTACAAAACTGATTGTGAAAAAATTTTGTACTATTTGAACCACCATATGACCGGTGTTGGAGACTTACCAAGTCCCAAATTAGGACTATTCGTGTTAATGAGTGTTTTGACAATAATTATTAGTGACTGGTTATTATGTGATAGATAGGCATTTTGCCATATAAGTAGTCGTTTATGTTTTAAAGATAGCGTAATTTTAACAATTAAACCTCGTTCTAGAAAACATGTAACTCAGTGTTATTTCAGTTGTTGTGGATATTTACTTGGAGTGTGACGAAAGGCTCAGTGACGGCCACTTGAACTACAATTAGTTCCAATTCATTCACTCTATACAATATTAAACACTTTTATTGTCAAAATTGTAACCGACACCAATTCGTGGAACACAAGACAATTCTTGTATGTACGTAATTGAGGTGAGTAACTTTGCAACCGACCTAACGAAATTACATACTTACGGAGATGACCTAATAAGAACTTCTGAATAAAACTCAAATTTTCTAAAATCTTACTTAAGGAAATATACTAACAATATTTTCATTCATAAAAGTCTACAAGGAAAATCGTCATTCTCTATAAACAGGAAGAATGCAAAATAAATTAATAATCTGTTGAAGGTTAAAGGTTAAGTGTAATCTTCGCTTTACAATGACTTACTATTATTGGAAAGAAAAGATTTTCCTTTTACTTACGGCCTTACTTTTTTATTTAGCCTCAAACCCGTACATTTATCATTCACTTTAGGTACGATTACATTGAAATTGTAAGCATTTATATGGATTCGATAACCACACAATTTATGCTGAATATGTAACATAACATATCACACCTCCGGTAAAAACCAAACTTAACTGTCAAAAATTTAAACCAATTTGAAAGAAAAAAAAATAGAGATGCATGTTTGTTTATTTATTTAGTTGAAGGCGAATATCTTTCTACTTAAAATGTACGTTGTTATAGGTACATATTATACAAGCTATAGCGCAATGCGTGCCTGTGCAGTGCCTGTGCATCATCGTCGAGACAGACTTGTAAAAAGTTGACTGATGATAATGAATGCGAACCTGACGTACTAGCAGAAAACAACAGAAGACCGATTTAGGTGGAATTACATAGGGGTTTTGCCCAGCAGTGGAATATTTTACAAGCGAAATAAAAAATATGAGATACATATTTGTTTATTTATTAGTTTATTATGATTAGTCGTAACGTTGCGAACTGGTTTATTACCAGTTGAATATTTAAAATGGTAGTCTTTCTGAAGAAGAAGAAGAAGAGAACCATATTCCAAGAAAGAGAAGATTTTAAGTGAATAAATAATATAATAATAATAACACACACTCAACATAGCCCCGCACTAGGGAAACCCTGTGTCGCGGGTGCCATGGACACACATATAGACAACCACAAATTACACCCAAACTCACGAGAGAAACAAATGTAGGTCATACAAATATTTCTCCCGGCCCGGGAATCGAACCTGGGACCTCTGCGTGGCAGTCCGGCATGGTAACCGTTTGGCCACAGAGGCAGTTTAAGTGAATATATTTCGAAAGCCTGAACCGAAGCATCCCGATGGCTGCCGAAGCTGCACGGCAAGCTTACCTTACCGCAGCTTAGTTTTCGTTGCTACGACCATTGTAATAAAAATTTCAACTATTATATCATAACAGATACATAATATAATCACAACATCACAATTCATTACTAGTGAACACAGCTACAAAACCTTAAACAACAAAAACTTAAAAACGATAATTAAAATCTAAAAAAGGAAATAATTGTA